GCACCCCCTCCCCCCACGTCTCTGAGTTTAGTCTCCAGTCTTCACGGCTCAACTCAGTCCATTCAAGTTGTATAGTGGGACTTCCCAAACAAAGCAACTCGTACCAGTCCGCCTTGACCTGTCTGTGTTTTGGGAAGTCCCACTGTACAACTTTGCGTCCCAGCATGTTTGATTTTGTATCTTGTGACCGGATCGTACAAAGGGAATATTCTCCGATTCTTTACGCCCAGAAAGTCATCATGTATAAGGGAGAATGTTACTGCCTGGAGATTTGGACGATGGCTTTCAAGGAAGAGGCATCTAAACATTTTACCTTATGATATCTGAAAAGTCACTAATTGCTTAAGAGGGTACATAATTGCCAAAAACCGGTCAACTACGATTGCTGTCAAACTCAAAACGGAGCTTGCTATCGAGAGGAATTGGGTAAATGTGATGGTCTTGCATAATATGACAGAGAATACCCCGTTTGACCAATCCATGTGTCCTGTCACAAGCAGTTTAATGGTCACTGGCATGTTAAAGGCTGTAATCAAAAGATCTGCAACGGCTATATTTGCTATGAGATAATTTGTGACAGTTCGCATTTGCCTTTTTATAATAACGACGCATATGACCAACACGTTACCGATCAGTGAACTGAACATGATGATGAAGTACGCAATAGTCTTGAAAATTTGCTCAGTCGGTGAATCAGGCTCATATGTGCACCGCGGTTATGCAGAACTGGAATTCGTGACGTTGTTTCTCGTGTTTATGGTCAGGTTTGGGAAAGAAAGTGCTATTGATAAAAAGGAAGCAGGAAAGATTTCTCAAATAGTTAATAGTCTTTTGCTACTTTCTTCTCAATTCTAAGTGGTTTTTTTTTTTTTTTCGTGTTCATGGACCGGGACGGAGTCGAGGTCCATAAACTCGCAAAAAAAAGAACGAGGCCAGTATCCTGCCATCTTGATCTCACAAGCTTGGTCAATAAAGGATTTATTATATGGCTTTCGGGGAAATTCTTCTTCCGAAGGGTGTGTTTAGCAGGTCCGAGTACTGTTACGTTTTCCATTAGACTAGTACCAGTCTCTTTCTTAACTGCCACGGATGTAATTTTCAACATGGCGGCGAATGTGTAACTGAACCGCGTAACTGTACAACCCTTTCTCTAAAGGAAACAGATTCCTCAAAAAGGATATTCGTCTTCTGAAAAGGTCAGTATTGGATATTTACAAATATCTTGAGGTAGTGTGTACGTATGAAATCCAAATTAGACTCGGTAAGCGAAAACACCTTTTTGCAATCTGCTTGTCAGTACAGAGGAAACTGAAAGCATGTTGAGTACTAGATCGAGTTGGCTGTCGAGAAACCGTGATGCAAATTTAATTAATTGTCATAGGTAATTACTGCACTTAAACTCAGCTCATCCACTCTAAGCCGTACACTCTGACTTCCGGCCATCAAATAGATTTGCAGTTCCTTCTGTTCCTCTCCCTGTTAAGTGGGCTTATAATATAGGGACGTGGCCTCGCCTTTACATCAGATGCTAAGCGTCTTTTGTATCAGTGATGAAACAAAACTACACGCTCGTTAAAAATGTCTGCTATGGCAAACAGTAGATCCAGGTTCAATAAAAAAACTATATTGCTTATGGAAATTGTCTGGAATAGAGTAGTAACTTTCCCTATTTAGCCTGGACAGGGGTATCTTTTTCGGCATTTAGACTGGAACATGGTTGCAAAATTAGAATTTCTTGGGCTTGTACAGGATAAGAATTTTTATGGCCCAGCAGCATGCAGCCCCCAAATATTTTGGTAATTACCCCCTCTGGGAGGCATATGTAGGCAAAACTTAGTATTTTATGTCAGAAATTACATGCCAGTACTTTGGGGAAAGGTTTGCAATGTTTTTCTTTTTTGGGTATTCTAACTGGCATAGTTTTCCTCAATCATGATTGAAGGCTGTGGACAATGAGACTGAAAAAGAGTTTTTGAAGAAGAACAGGCTAGAAGCAAAGCACAGGAACTTTCCTGATTGGAAAGGATGTACTAAGTGTTCTTTTCATAGGCTACAGAGAGAGTTTTTCATTGGTGAAGGTGTCATGTCATGTGCACCTTGTAATCTGTCTTGGCAGTCAGTCCACTGAGGGGCAGCAACAAATGGCGGTTCTAACCCAATGATTTTGACTTGGAGGCAAATTGTTACATGTACAATAAAGTACCATGCTGCATCAATTATTCTAGTTCCTATTCTTCCAGAGAGAGGGAAAAAGATGAACGAAAGAACACCATTGGGGTCCATTTGTTCATAGGGTGGATAGTGTAGGTTTTGTAAACACTTATCTCCTGGATAGCGATTTATCTGGTGGATAGCTTATAATCACTCTTTGAAAAATTTGGCCCAAAAGAAAAATATTGCAAATACAAAAATGGCGAAGAGAAACTCCGCGAAGAAGGTGATTCTTTTAAATTTGACCTCTAACAATTGTTAGACCAAGGCATAATGGTCAATTTATGTAATAACACTTTCTAACAGTATAGCACATGTCTTGTGTCTTTTAAAAGCAAGTTGATTGGCTGGCCAAGCTGAGTCTGGGTTAATTCAAATGTCTTGATCACATGATAGATTCATGTTATATACAGCATAAAATGATGGTAAAATGATAATTATTATCATTTTACCATTTTGACCTGTGCAAGCTATACCATTAGCACTTTTTAGTTAACATGTTTTAAGGCTAACTGATATGCTTAGAACTTCATCACTTGGGTGTCCTGAAAACTCAGATCATGAAACTCAAACTCTCTGGGTGTCTTGAAAACTCAAACCCAAAAAATAAAACAAATTTACACTGCCAAATTGCCATGGGTTGCTGTAAGTGAACACTGTAAGTGTTTTATGCCATCAAAAGATGGTGGCGTGAAACAAAGCATGAAAAGCCATTTATTTGGAGGTTTGAATCTGAGTTTTCAAGCTGTGGGTTTACGAGACACCCCTCATCTCTTGCCAGCCTTCAGTCAGCTATCTGACCAATCCCCACTGACTTAGGCATTTGACTTAGAATTAAATTTCACTTGAACATTGATTTATTCAGCTGCAAGTAGAATGGCTGCAGCTCACAGATTTAGGACAATCTGTGGTTAATAACATAAATATACAATAAACATGCATACTTTCTGATTATAGCAAGTTAAGGATATTCTGCTAAACGATGGGAAAGAAAGGGAGAAGAAAAGCCCAGCAGAGTCCATCTGAAGCACGTGAGCATGTCACAGATAAGGAGGTGCAAACTCTTTGTCAAAAAATATTTGAGAGTAAGTCATAACAATCTTAATTTGTACCATCAATCTCTGGTTTTTTTTTTCAAGAACAAATTATTTTTTTATTCAGTAATTCTAATAATGAGTCTCAAAACAAAAAGTGAGGAGTCCATTGAATACATGGATGTGATGGAGTGTCACCATGCTCCCATTGCATTAACAGAGTGCAAATGTTATGTGATGCATAAAACAACTGCAAATTTTCTCTTATCTCTAACTAACTCCATTTAGATAAAGGAGGAACAGGTTGCTTGGTCCTCATTACAAAATGCAATGCAAAGCACTCTTTGAACAAAGTCTGCATTTCATGATCATGTGAACTACATTCTTTACAGTAAATTAGCTACATTTTATTATCAACTACTGCTGTACACTCCGATGTTCATACATGTATATGTGGGCTTGCTGAAATATATATATGTGAAATGAACGCACTTTTGAATAATTATATCTTATATATTTGTTTTAAAATTAGGAGAAAAAGTTATACAAATTTATACATGAGCTATAGGGGCATAAAATGTAAAATATCCCTGCAGTATGTTATGGAATATTGTCTGATTTAGTTAACTTAGCCTATGGCCTAATGTCAGTCACCTATCAGGCAATTTACCACTCAGTTTTGCAAGATATAATCTTAGTCCATAACAGTGTGTTTCCCTCAGGGTTGTCAAAAGTAGCTGGCTGTTAGCAAAAATCATCCTGATGTCATGATCTTGGCCGGCTTCTCTCCTTGGAAATTCGTCTGATTCTATTAGCCATCTGCTTAATTTAAAATCTATTATTAATAGAATTTAAATTAAATGTCTTTAGTGATAGTTATATCTCTAGAAACCCCCGTATTACCAGTCAAGCAATGGGAAGAACATCTAAAGCTTCGTGAAATGGTGGAAAAGATAAGAGAAAGACAAGTGGGTATGTAAACTCTACAGAATATTAATAACAGAAAAAAATATCCAGTTGATAGGAAAATATAGATATGACCAGATATGGTATTATCAGTAAATCGATTAAACTACTTTGTTTGTTTAATATGTTACATGTGCATGTGTGTACGTATGCTGGCCTATTATGAACTGTTTTTTTGTTTTTGTTTAAATGATGCTGTTTTAAAGCATTTTCAGTACATTTATCTTATTACCCAAGTGCATTTACTCTAATGGGAGACTGTGCTCTGAGGTCTTACAGTACAAACCCTGCTGTGTAATCAAGTTTGGTTAATAAGAGATCAGTATTACACAACTGAAAATGGCTCAGATAAATAGTCCACAATATTAGACTGAAAAACACCATAAACTTTAAGTGTGCTACAGTATTTTGATTTGAAACTGACTCACTGTTTAGTTGCATCTAGAGCTGATGTTTTCAGAAACGAGCAATGAATGTTGCAAAAGTTCTAAGAAAAATTTGAAAAGAATCTCAGTATTACACGTGTTACTTAATTAATTTACAAACTAAAGTAAACCATAAAACTGCAGGAAAATGTTTCATGATGGTTGTGCTGGATTATTAATTTTGGTCCCATAATTGGAAAATACTGGACTGGCAATAGAGCAATCTGATTGATTGATTGATTGATTGATTGATCGATTGATTGAATGATTACATTTATTTGCCCTATGAACCAGCTTTACCTTGTAATAAAGCATTAAGGTGGCTGGCAACAGTTTAAAGAACTTTCCAGCAGTCATACACATGATCTTTGACAGATCAATACTAACCACATTTTATTAACTGATCACATAAATGGGCAATCATTGGTGACTAACTTGCTGGAAATGGTTACCAGCCATCTCAAAGTATCAAGACTGTACTAATACATTTTGACTTATGCTTTGCAGACCAAACTTTATTTGAAAAATTAGATCACTCCCGGAAAGATCACATTGCAAGTTTCACCCAGTGGTTTAATGAGAATGGTGGCAAAGCAGAACATGTGCTAATTGACGACTTTGGTCAACAAGGACTTGGTCTGAAAGCTGCCAATGATATGAAGGTGATGTCTTCATCTTGTCACATACACGCATCTAATTTATCATTTTTGGTGACATGGGGTAAATATCCACATGGAAAAAAATATCCATTTACCCATGGAACATGAAACAGTATTCTGATAAACACGACATGGCAAAGTCTATTAACTGGGAATCACCAGTATTTTGAAAAGCAAAAAGAAAATTAAAAAAGATCTACAGCTATCGTGTTTACACTTTCTAAAATCAAAATCATTTTTGTGGTTTGGCTTTCATGTATGACATTCTGATATAAGATAAAACAAATAAGTAAATCACAGCGTGCAAAGAAAGCCATGACTGATGGCTGGTGGATTTTTCAGTTACTGGTAGGCTAGTGGATTATATATTGTTCCCTCAATTGCCTATCCTAGCACACCAAGGGGCAAATCTGTGGTGGTGAGGGAAAGTTGAAACAACAGAGAAAAAAAATCTGCAAAAAGGCAGTTTATATTTTAGTTCACCTTCTCTCCAACTTTTTTGGCAGACTTTTCCCTGCCATTTTAACTTTCCCTCACCCCAACAGACTGTCCTAGGAAGTTTCTTGGCAATATTTTTAAAGAAGTATAAATTACAGGACTACTATAATGGCGGGTGAGGGGTAGTGAGAATGACTTTCAGGCTATTGGGAGCACATCATAGTTAGAGCTTTCCTTTTTAGGTTTTCTCTGCACCCTGAAATCATCTTATTTTGGTGTTATGGTATTTTAGCCCTTCTTTGCTAAATGGGGACACTAAGGAACAAATAAGTTAAGGATCAAGTACTTTTTCAGTGGTGAATCTCTTGGTTTACCAACAAACTATGTTGACTGTTTTTGTCCTCAGGCAGGAGAGCTTTTCATCACCATACCAAGAAAATTGACAATATCGGCAGAGACTGCAAGAAACTCGGAACTAGGTAGTGTTTAGATAGATATTTCTGAGTTGGACAATTTCTTTTATTTTCTCACTCTTCAAGGTGGCTGGAGCTGGGATACCATCTCCTTCTCTTCTCTCTTCCATTTAGAAGGAATCTATGCAATCTGTGCTTTCCTAAAGTGAACTGTTTATGGTTGGTATTTTGAAAGATAAGAGACTGGGAAGTTTTGATTTAAATCAACCCCCCCTAAAAATGTTATAAATACACCCCATCTCCAAAGAAAATACCTTCTAGAACACAACTCACTATACCCCCNCTATGAGATAATTTGTGACAGTTCGCATTTGCCTTTTTATAATAACGACGCATATGACCAACACGTTACCGATCAGTGAACTGAACATGATGATGAAGTACGCAATAGTCTTGAAAATTTGCTCAGTCGGTGAATCAGGCTCATATGTGCACCGCGGTTATGCAGAACTGGAATTCGTGACGTTGTTTCTCGTGTTTATGGTCAGGTTTGGGAAAGAAAGTGCTATTGATAAAAAGGAAGCAGGAAAGATTTCTCAAATAGTTAATAGTCTTTTGCTACTTTCTTCTCAATTCTAAGTGGTTTTTTTTTTTTTTTCGTGTTCATGGACCGGGACGGAGTCGAGGTCCATAAACTCGCAAAAAAAAGAACGAGGCCAGTATCCTGCCATCTTGATCTCACAAGCTTGGTCAATAAAGGATTTATTATATGGCTTTCGGGGAAATTCTTCTTCCGAAGGGTGTGTTTAGCAGGTCCGAGTACTGTTACGTTTTCCATTAGACTAGTACCAGTCTCTTTCTTAACTGCCACGGATGTAATTTTCAACATGGCGGCGAATGTGTAACTGAACCGCGTAACTGTACAACCCTTTCTCTAAAGGAAACAGATTCCTCAAAAAGGATATTCGTCTTCTGAAAAGGTCAGTATTGGATATTTACAAATATCTTGAGGTAGTGTGTACGTATGAAATCCAAATTAGACTCGGTAAGCGAAAACACCTTTTTGCAATCTGCTTGTCAGTACAGAGGAAACTGAAAGCATGTTGAGTACTAGATCGAGTTGGCTGTCGAGAAACCGTGATGCAAATTTAATTAATTGTCATAGGTAATTACTGCACTTAAACTCAGCTCATCCACTCTAAGCCGTACACTCTGACTTCCGGCCATCAAATAGATTTGCAGTTCCTTCTGTTCCTCTCCCTGTTAAGTGGGCTTATAATATAGGGACGTGGCCTCGCCTTTACATCAGATGCTAAGCGTCTTTTGTATCAGTGATGAAACAAAACTACACGCTCGTTAAAAATGTCTGCTATGGCAAACAGTAGATCCAGGTTCAATAAAAAAACTATATTGCTTATGGAAATTGTCTGGAATAGAGTAGTAACTTTCCCTATTTAGCCTGGACAGGGGTATCTTTTTCGGCATTTAGACTGGAACATGGTTGCAAAATTAGAATTTCTTGGGCTTGTACAGGATAAGAATTTTTATGGCCCAGCAGCATGCAGCCCCCAAATATTTTGGTAATTACCCCCTCTGGGAGGCATATGTAGGCAAAACTTAGTATTTTATGTCAGAAATTACATGCCAGTACTTTGGGGAAAGGTTTGCAATGTTTTTCTTTTTTGGGTATTCTAACTGGCATAGTTTTCCTCAATCATGATTGAAGGCTGTGGACAATGAGACTGAAAAAGAGTTTTTGAAGAAGAACAGGCTAGAAGCAAAGCACAGGAACTTTCCTGATTGGAAAGGATGTACTAAGTGTTCTTTTCATAGGCTACAGAGAGAGTTTTTCATTGGTGAAGGTGTCATGTCATGTGCACCTTGTAATCTGTCTTGGCAGTCAGTCCACTGAGGGGCAGCAACAAATGGCGGTTCTAACCCAATGATTTTGACTTGGAGGCAAATTGTTACATGTACAATAAAGTACCATGCTGCATCAATTATTCTAGTTCCTATTCTTCCAGAGAGAGGGAAAAAGATGAACGAAAGAACACCATTGGGGTCCATTTGTTCATAGGGTGGATAGTGTAGGTTTTGTAAACACTTATCTCCTGGATAGCGATTTATCTGGTGGATAGCTTATAATCACTCTTTGAAAAATTTGGCCCAAAAGAAAAATATTGCAAATACAAAAATGGCGAAGAGAAACTCCGCGAAGAAGGTGATTCTTTTAAATTTGACCTCTAACAATTGTTAGACCAAGGCATAATGGTCAATTTATGTAATAACACTTTCTAACAGTATAGCACATGTCTTGTGTCTTTTAAAAGCAAGTTGATTGGCTGGCCAAGCTGAGTCTGGGTTAATTCAAATGTCTTGATCACATGATAGATTCATGTTATATACAGCATAAAATGATGGTAAAATGATAATTATTATCATTTTACCATTTTGACCTGTGCAAGCTATACCATTAGCACTTTTTAGTTAACATGTTTTAAGGCTAACTGATATGCTTAGAACTTCATCACTTGGGTGTCCTGAAAACTCAGATCATGAAACTCAAACTCTCTGGGTGTCTTGAAAACTCAAACCCAAAAAATAAAACAAATTTACACTGCCAAATTGCCATGGGTTGCTGTAAGTGAACACTGTAAGTGTTTTATGCCATCAAAAGATGGTGGCGTGAAACAAAGCATGAAAAGCCATTTATTTGGAGGTTTGAATCTGAGTTTTCAAGCTGTGGGTTTACGAGACACCCCTCATCTCTTGCCAGCCTTCAGTCAGCTATCTGACCAATCCCCACTGACTTAGGCATTTGACTTAGAATTAAATTTCACTTGAACATTGATTTATTCAGCTGCAAGTAGAATGGCTGCAGCTCACAGATTTAGGACAATCTGTGGTTAATAACATAAATATACAATAAACATGCATACTTTCTGATTATAGCAAGTTAAGGATATTCTGCTAAACGATGGGAAAGAAAGGGAGAAGAAAAGCCCAGCAGAGTCCATCTGAAGCACGTGAGCATGTCACAGATAAGGAGGTGCAAACTCTTTGTCAAAAAATATTTGAGAGTAAGTCATAACAATCTTAATTTGTACCATCAATCTCTGGTTTTTTTTTTCAAGAACAAATTATTTTTTTATTCAGTAATTCTAATAATGAGTCTCAAAACAAAAAGTGAGGAGTCCATTGAATACATGGATGTGATGGAGTGTCACCATGCTCCCATTGCATTAACAGAGTGCAAATGTTATGTGATGCATAAAACAACTGCAAATTTTCTCTTATCTCTAACTAACTCCATTTAGATAAAGGAGGAACAGGTTGCTTGGTCCTCATTACAAAATGCAATGCAAAGCACTCTTTGAACAAAGTCTGCATTTCATGATCATGTGAACTACATTCTTTACAGTAAATTANCAAAAGTTCTAAGAAAAATTTGAAAAGAATCTCAGTATTACACGTGTTACTTAATTAATTTACAAACTAAAGTAAACCATAAAACTGCAGGAAAATGTTTCATGATGGTTGTGCTGGATTATTAATTTTGGTCCCATAATTGGAAAATACTGGACTGGCAATAGAGCAATCTGATTGATTGATTGATTGATTGATTGATCGATTGATTGAATGATTACATTTATTTGCCCTATGAACCAGCTTTACCTTGTAATAAAGCATTAAGGTGGCTGGCAACAGTTTAAAGAACTTTCCAGCAGTCATACACATGATCTTTGACAGATCAATACTAACCACATTTTATTAACTGATCACATAAATGGGCAATCATTGGTGACTAACTTGCTGGAAATGGTTACCAGCCATCTCAAAGTATCAAGACTGTACTAATACATTTTGACTTATGCTTTGCAGACCAAACTTTATTTGAAAAATTAGATCACTCCCGGAAAGATCACATTGCAAGTTTCACCCAGTGGTTTAATGAGAATGGTGGCAAAGCAGAACATGTGCTAATTGACGACTTTGGTCAACAAGGACTTGGTCTGAAAGCTGCCAATGATATGAAGGTGATGTCTTCATCTTGTCACATACACGCATCTAATTTATCATTTTTGGTGACATGGGGTAAATATCCACATGGAAAAAAATATCCATTTACCCATGGAACATGAAACAGTATTCTGATAAACACGACATGGCAAAGTCTATTAACTGGGAATCACCAGTATTTTGAAAAGCAAAAAGAAAATTAAAAAAGATCTACAGCTATCGTGTTTACACTTTCTAAAATCAAAATCATTTTTGTGGTTTGGCTTTCATGTATGACATTCTGATATAAGATAAAACAAATAAGTAAATCACAGCGTGCAAAGAAAGCCATGACTGATGGCTGGTGGATTTTTCAGTTACTGGTAGGCTAGTGGATTATATATTGTTCCCTCAATTGCCTATCCTAGCACACCAAGGGGCAAATCTGTGGTGGTGAGGGAAAGTTGAAACAACAGAGAAAAAAAATCTGCAAAAAGGCAGTTTATATTTTAGTTCACCTTCTCTCCAACTTTTTTGGCAGACTTTTCCCTGCCATTTTAACTTTCCCTCACCCCAACAGACTGTCCTAGGAAGTTTCTTGGCAATATTTTTAAAGAAGTATAAATTACAGGACTACTATAATGGCGGGTGAGGGGTAGTGAGAATGACTTTCAGGCTATTGGTAGCACATCATAGTTAGAGCTTTCCTTTTTAGGTTTTCTCTGCACCCTGAAATCATCTTATTTTGGTGTTATGGTATTTTAGCCCTTCTTTGCTAAATGGGGACACTAAGGAACAAATAAGTTAAGGATCAAGTACTTTTTCAGTGGTGAATCTCTTGGTTTACCAACAAACTATGTTGACTGTTTTTGTCCTCAGGCAGGAGAGCTTTTCATCACCATACCAAGAAAATTGACAATATCGGCAGAGACTGCAAGAAACTCGGAACTAGGTAGTGTTTAGATAGATATTTCTGAGTTGGACAATTTCTTTTATTTTCTCACTCTTCAAGGTGGCTGGAGCTGGGATACCATCTCCTTCTCTTCTCTCTTCCATTTAGAAGGAATCTATGCAATCTGTGCTTTCCTAAAGTGAACTGTTTATGGTTGGTATTTTGAAAGATAAGAGACTGGGAAGTTTTGATTTAAATCAACCCCCCCTAAAAATGTTATAAATACACCCCATCTCCAAAGAAAATACCTTCTAGAACACAACTCACTATACCCCCGACCCCGCTTGTACCGACAAAAAAATTTCTAAAGGAAACAGGGAGCCTCATTATAGAACCTGACAACTATTTTCAATTCTCCCTTTTCTTTTAAAAAATCTGTTGCACCACCTTTTAACTCTAATATTCTTCCCCTAGTGGGAAATGATCAATGTTCAGTGTTTGATTCAACCTCATTAATACAAATCTGTTCATGTCAATGGGTGTATGATTAATGTGCAATCAGGGGACTTCCATTATTGTAAGAGCATATTGCAAGGGAGGGATGAAGTGGTGTTCATTATACAGTCGGTGACATTTATGACTAATTAGCAGTCAGTTATCTGGCCCCGGTTGTTCGAAGGCTTGATAACGCTATCCACGGGATAAACCGCTATCCAGTGGAGACGTTTTGAATAAACAAACCACACTATCCACTGGATAGTGATTTATCTCGTGGATAGCGTCATCCACCTTTTGAACAACCCGACCCGATGTGCAGGTTTTAAAGAACAATTTTAGCAATAGCAGCCTGCTTTCTATCCATAGACATTTAGGTAGCAAACATTACCCTAGTTGTTCTCTTCTCATTCCAGGACCCCTGATTGAGAAGGATAATATCCTGAGAGTGATGCAAAATGCCTGTCTGGTCCTTCACGTGTACTGTGAAAAACTCAAGAAGAACTCTTTTTGGAAACCATATCTTGGTATCCTTTGGAAGATGATACCTAGAATTGTGTAGTTTACTTGGGTCAGTTGAAAGAAATATTTTTATAATCAATTTTCAGTAGACGGAATAAGCACTTATCACGTAGTCCTGGAAAAATAAGCTCTGGTGTTATGGACTACTTGACCCAACACAGACTTTACCTTACTTCTGCAAGCTTACCTACATGTATAGGGATGGATGGGCAGTGAGCACTGTCTGTAAGCACTGTTTGTAAGCACTGTCTGTAAGCAGCAACATGAGCGAAATGGCTTGACATGGAGCTCGACCAGGGTTCGACTACAAACCACCCTGACCACTCTTCATCAGATAATGGAATCCGTTTTTCAGCATCATCTCAAGGTTAATATACTTGTAGCTTAAATTGCATCAACTTTGGTCATATTCGATCAAGTTCCCTTGACTAGCAGTTGTATTGTAGATGTTCTTCCAACTTCATATTCAACGACTTTGTACTTCACTGTTGAGGAGATGCAGGCATTGAAAGGATCTCCAGCATTTGGTAGGAAATTCTAATTCTTCTTAACAAAGGTTGCAGAAGTCTTAAGTCTTCAGTCTAATAGGTTCGACCACAGTTATCCCAAGCTTTTTACATGGGCTTCGTTATACGATATTGAAAACCAGCAGCCTAAAACACCACAGTTGATGCAAGTAATACACAGAGGAAGAATCGATGGAAATTCATTTTTACGGTATTTCCTTTTCAGATTTCCAACCGAAGGTGTTAGCATGTTCGTTATACTCCCATACAGTCGTTAGATGACATTAACGCCGTTTCGTAAGTCGTAATGGTTTAACTTCCCCAAGGAAATGTTGTTAGGATACCTGTGGTTGGACTACATAAAACAGTTATTAAATATCGCATTTTTGGAAAGTTGAGGGTTTAAAGGGGCACTGTAACATGTGCAACCTCAAAAATTAAAGGACATTAGTCTTCTTTCCTGGAAACCCAGATGTAATAGAAAGCGTTCACTGACACTCTCTGATCTATTTTAGGTGAGGCTCTCAAGCTTTACAGAAATATTGCACGCCAATATGCTTATCTTTACCAGCGACTTCAGCAGGTAGGTGTGACGCGTTAGAAAATGTGTGAGAAGTGATACTTACTCAAAGCTTTGTGACAAACCTCGAGCTCTGTCAGGTGGAATTTGCGTTGTTTGAACGAAACGCAAAACATTTTGCGTTTGTAAGAAACGCAAAACATTTTCCGTGTTTCTACAGTATTTTAGTATTAATCTACTAGCGTTCTATCAAGAATGCCGTTCTCTGATTGGCTACGCTACTCACTATCTATTCTTTTATAGATAGTGAGTGGCTTGGCAAAGTGCGGTTGTTAACAAAATGACGGCCAACTTGCGTTTTCGAAGTGTCTCTGAAAATAATTTAGTTAAAGTTTTGAACGAGTACTAGATTTATGCTAAAAGACTGAAACAATAAGATTATTCGCTCTCGATTTCTGTTCATGATAGTTGTAAATCTCAAGCTCATAATCTAATTGTTAATTAGAGTGCAGTGGCTGAAGGTCGTCCACATAATAGCAATGTTTTCTGGATTCTCCAATGTTTCGCGATAATGTTACGACAATGTTACGGGATAATTTAATTCTCTAGAACACTAAAGAAAGGATTCTGACAGTGATGTGATTTTTCAATGAACCGATAAATGCGTGCACAACTACAAGTTTCAAATAACAATTCAATTCGCGCGATTTTGCTAAAACATGAAGTTTAATACTACGTTGAGAAAATATTGGAAATCGTTATTTGAAGGAAATCTAGTTAGAATTCTACTAAAACAATTAGACCATTCGCTTTCGATTACTATGAGATGATACTCATAATCTAATGGTTAAACAGGAGTACGCAGATAAGTACGGCTTTAAGCACACATGTTCTTACTGTGGTTTCTAACTCTGTTTATAGGTTTGTCCAGAGACAGCCAAGCTCCCACTGAGGAGGAATTTTACTTTTGATGACCACAGGTACATGTATGTGCACTGTACTTCTATTTAGGAGTTCTTTTGGAGTGCTGTGTATAAACCCTTTCCCCTTTTACCTATACAACCCTCTTTCGCCCAAATTTTCTTGAGTCTCATACAATTCACCAAATGTTTGACCCAAAGCGGCTGTTTTTGCGGCCTTTGCAAGCTTAAGAGATCCAAACCTGCTCGAAGCAGCTTGGTGTTAAGTCATTTGATGTATTAAAAACCCTTCAATTAATATGAAAAACAAAGCTGAACCAGACTCGACGGCACGGGGATTGTTGTCTTTGTTTGCTTTGGTTTTGAATTGTGGGACTACCGCAGTCATAGACAGGAGCAGGCGCGGACAATAGTTTATTTCTTATAAGTGAATAATTAATTGTTAGTACATGGAGCAGTTTTTGTGTTTTTTTTTTTGTTTGATTTTCCTGTTTTGTGACTGCTGTTTACATGCACAGATGGGCAGTATCAACTGTTATCACTCGTCAAAACAAGATCCCAAGTACCACAGGTGAACCAACTCTGGCGCTTATTCCGATGTGGGACATGTGTAACCACTGTCATGGCACGGTATGGCGTTATGTACTTAAAAGTCATTTTGTTTTTTTACCTTTGCATTGAATGAAGTCAAAAGGGTATCCAAGGAAAACGTCCGAGGCTTATTGTCAAATGGTGTAACCTTGGTCGGAAAAGAGGGGGCTTTTTCGTGTACAGAGAAGCAGACTATAGGAGGACGCAATTTCCAGGTTGGGGTAGACCACAAAAAAGGCCTGCAGCCTTCCGTATGGGAAACCTAGTTTGAGGGTCGTGGTTTCATGTCACGTTAGCAGCAGTAGGAACTTAAAGATCCCAGAACGCGGGCGTCATCAATAACGCCGTAGCAGCGTGGGGCCTGTGTCGAGGACGCCTTGTTCGTGGCGGGAAAAAATAGGGAGCTTAAGCAGCGACGAAGCTGCCGAGGACGACGCCTAGTCAGAAATGAATTTATATGTTACCAGCGAAATTTGCAATTGTCTAGATCTGTTCAGTACGCCAATGGCTCTAAAAACGGCTCAGGCTAAATATACAACAACAGCGTTCAACTCCAAATGGAAAGGCGAAAAATTAGTCGTTGTAGGTCGCGTTCCTCAGACTACGCAGAACTTAGTCATTTCACGTTCTTGTTTTGCAGAGGACGGCTAAGAAATGTACAAAGATTTATAACGCACGCGCAAAGCTGTTGTTTTGCTCTTTAAACTTTTTGATATGTGACGTACTCGCTGCTGTCGTCGTCGTGGTTTGCTTAAGCTCCCTATACACTGTATATTTTTCTTTTTACCGTAACATCACTGTAGAACCTCTTTATCCGCTAATCATAACAAACGGCTTTGTTTTTCATCCTCATTCGTGCACCCAGATAACGACTGGCTACGATATGGCTGAAGACAGCTGCAAGAGCCTAGCCGTGAAGGACTTCAAGGCCGGTGAACAAGTGTGTATATTTTACGGAGAACGTTCTAACGCGGACCTCTTGGTTCATAATGGGTTTGTGTTTGAGGACAACATACATGATAAAGTTGGCATTCAGCTCGGTGTCAGTAAGAGTGACCCACTGTTTCAGAAGAAGGAAAAACTACTGAGCTTTATGAGAATGACGGCGTAAGTTGTGAAATGTTCTGGTTTCTTGTTTCTCTTTGTTAGACTGATAGACTTGCCGTACGACAAGCTCACAAGAGCTCCAAGCGGTGAAATGAAATGTAAGTTGTGGCAAGCGCCAAAAAAATTTGCCATAGGCTGAGAAAATAACATTCGCTCCTTTTGCTCTAGGATATAGCCGGTGTGCTACCAAACAAAAGCTTGTGAAAAGCTTCATTAAGTCAGCAAGATTGCTTTCTTAAGAGACCCACTCAAGCAGAGTACGGAAAGTGACCAATGTGGTTTGCATACCCTCTCAGACTTTTTTGTGACCATTCTAGAAGCTTTTCGTCCAAATTTAACGTCATCAAAATTTTAAAATATGAAGCGCCCTCTTTCAAAAGCTGTATTTTTTTTTAACTTTTTAATGTTGGCATACTCTCCTGTCTCTACACTATGATTAGACTACTTGCCTTGTTTTAGAAATATGACAGGTTGGCTGCGCATTTTCTGGGCCAGAATGGCAACCCACATAATCTTTTCACTCTATCCATAGCGGGCATTAATTGGAAGGGTAAAATAAACAGCACCAATCAGTCAGGATATTTTGTTATTTTTTAGACCCTTAGATGAAGTGTTTATTTTGGCACCCATGTTGGTGTACAGAGGAAAGTCATGAACATGGCGGATGAATACACAGTTTTCTCTCTGGCGAAATATGCTCTCGCTAAAACCTCGTCATAAGCATGTCAGGCTTCAAAACTTGTGCAAATTGATTTTTTTTTTTAACCTAAATCCTACAATGCAATCTGCGATCGTACGTTCTTTTCAGTTTTTCGAGGTGGCCGAAATAAAGAACGCCCGTTCTTTAATGTCTGTGCAAGTGACCCTTTTGCAGCTCGTGTATGTGGATTCACCAAAGAAAAAATGTATTTCATTTGCAGGTCTAGTCACTGGTATTCAATTCCATGCGGTGATGATCCGATTGGCCCTGAGTTAGTGACCTTCCTAAGAGTGTTTTCGATGGGTGAAGGTATGAACTGCAGGGAGTGAAAATAGAATGTGGTAGTGTATGAGAAAATACTGTTTAAAAATAACTTCTGGAGCGCTGGAGTACTAATGGAGTGAATAATTGACAAATGTGAGCAAACTTCACGTACAATTTTCTGTTGTAAATTTTTTCATCTCTCTTTCCTTTGAGGTGAGAGCTGTCGAGGCTGAAGGCCGAATCAACTATCACCTCAAAGAATCGAGAACGAATAATCTAACTGTTAAATAGAAACACACTCATGAAACAGTAAGCAGCTGTCTACGGCCCGTGTTCCCACACCGAGTCTCATTCTGCCAAACTTCTTCATGTGTTTTTAGAACTGTTTTCTATTTACTTAACTAAAGTCTAATACATGTCAGAAGCCAAAGGGATCAGATTAGTGTTGTAGCATTACTTAATTGTATTTTTTCTTTAAAACTACGTACGTGTAAATCTATTTATTGCAGATGAGTTGAACGAGTGGCTTGAAAAAGCTAGTGAAAACAGCATTGAATTGAAGACACTTTCGGCGGTGTATTCCTTTGTCAGGCAGGAGACTGAAATCAAAAGTTGGCAGTTCATAGAAACCCGGCTTTCCTTGCTTCTTGGACAGTACAAAATATCTGATGCGGTGAGTCTGTTGCATGAATGGGTAGATAGTGCAAAACATGGGTCTGGTGACAAGTTTGAGTCTCAGGTAGCCCAAGCTCTCGTCAAGCTCAGTGCGTGAGCGTCATCATGTTTCGAAACAGCGACAATATAAGAGTTCGGCCCTTACATCTCGTAGTTAGTAATGGACCTTTTCGGCGGTACGGTGGCCATTTTGAATTGTGTTGTTTCAAATAGCTATTATGGTATGCTTAGGGGGCAAATACATAATAACTTCCCTCCTGAGCATCCCATAATAGCTATTTGAAACAATAGAATTCAAAATAGCCGCCGTATCGCTGTGTAAGGGATCCTTAAGTATGGAAAATACTGCTGTCGCTTGTAAATGTACGAAATTAGACGTAAAGTTCTCCTTTGAACTCTCGTATGTCGTCATTTTGTCGTTTTGTATGGTTTTACTGCGTTGTAAAGCGGAGGATTTTAAAAAGTCGTTTTCTGAGCAAGGTGGTTTTCCAACCAGAAAAAGCCGTAATCCTATAACGCTGTAAAACCATAAGAAGGACAACTTCTAAACTCGTACATTTATAATCGACAGCACTATTTTCCTTCCAATCTCTTACCCAACGGCGGTCATGACGAATTATTCACTAGGAGATGTAAAGGCCGAACTGGTACATTGTCGCTATGACGCTCGGGTAAGATTGAACTTGGGATGCGTTGAGTAGGGCTGGGTTGACACTATGAAACGTCGGATGTGATGAGTCTAGTAACAAGGTTGGATGGGTAATATGAAATTTCAAATGCGGTGAGTTTGGCAGCAGGGATGGTTAGCACCCTTAAATGTCGGATGTGTACGTGGTTAGCGTGATGGAAGAATTTGTAAACTTTGCAAAACACTAAATGCGATGAATATGGCAGGAGAAGTGGGTGGATCATTTTAATAATTACACGCCTAAGTTAATCAATCGACCAATCAGATTGCTCTATTATAGCACGAATGTTTTAATGTTATTAAAACGGACACTGCTCCGAATAATTCCGTGCAGTTTTCTTGTAGATTTATAGCTTTTTTTTTCTAGCATGCCCTATTCTCCTATGTTGTTCTTTTGCTCTTCTTTTTCTAAGGTGGTCAGTAATCAGAATTTCAAGTTTGAAGTTTACTACGTCTTTCTAGTTCGTGATCGGGAATTTTTTTCGAAACATTTTCAGTCGTGTAATAAATCCCATGTTTACCGGGATTGACTGGGAACATATTGGTCCTTACCTCTTTTGGACGTATCGCATAGTACTCGGTCCCATTACGGCCCCGAGGTTAGGTAAGAAGATAAGTACATCCCACGTGATGAGACTAGTGCCAGGGATGGGTCAATGGTAAAACAATGACGAGTTATTGGTTTGCGTAGCACCTTTAGCATTAATTGATAGTCTGAAGACTAATTTAGTATTTAGTTTGGTTTAATTGTTTGGTATTCCTTTTGTTCTATTTCGCAGGAAGAACGTGAGTCACTGGAGAGTGCAGAGATTTCAAACCACAAAAAGCTGTGCATTAAGTTGAAAAGAGCGGAAAAAAGGGTGCTGGAGAAAGCCTTGAAATTCGTGTCTACTACCAGGAACAAAACTGCGGAGACTCGGTTGGAAACAGGCAGACATTGTGACAATGAACTTGATGAAAGGCAAGCAAACACGACCTCAAGCGATGTGATGGATGATACAACTTCTGCTGCGGAGCAACTTTGTATTAATGGAGAATAGAATAGTGTGGTACCGAACGAGTTTTGGTCTGAAGTAGTCTGTTATAAAACGGTGTACAGGCGAGGGAGTGAATCACTATGAGGATTTTCTTCAGATTTTAATTCTCTCTCTACGAGGTAGCGGCTCCCTTGTGTTGCATGGGGTGTTACAGTAGATCTGGATTTCAAAGCTGCTTCTGTATTGGTTTTTTTATTGTCCCTTTTAATTACTTGCCAATTCACCGTTCTACTCAGGCGCCAGTTGGCCCACTCAACTGGTGCTTATGTTGATCGACATTGTAATGAGCGTCTATGAGTATTGTTACTCTCTCTGGATGGAGTGATGTAAAAGCAAGGCCAGAACTATGTGAGAACAAATTACCCATCTCTTAATTCAGGTAACAGTAGATGACTTCTCTCCACGCCCCTACGTAAACTAGGAGTGTGATCGCTTTCGAGCAAAATTCACTTAGCGGGAAACATTGCAAAATATGGCACATTTTCGTTTAAGCAGTACAGAATGTTCTCCCCGCTAACTTTTGACATCACGCATTTATAATTACCTGGCCGCTGATTCGATGGTTCCCAGAACCTTGGTCAATCCTCTGTTGCGCTATGAAGTGATTGTTAAGGAACTAAGCTGGAATACATGCACGAGTCTATGTGCGAACATGAACAATCTTGTTAACTTGTTACTTTCAAAGGTTCTTCATCTACAAGCTCCTTTGCAAGGAATCATGATGAAACGTACGAGATAAGTTCATTGGCATCGAATTTGAAGACTATCAATCGGTCTAACTGAGCCCTCGGTTGGAGGAGTGGATGTGTGCAGCGGTCAGGATCAAGGGCTGCTCGGGATAAGACACTGTACTTACACACACAGTCACTGTAGCTCAATCCACCCAGGAGGATAAACTGACAACATACTGAGGGGAGGGGTGGGCGTGATAATAACCCACAGTGAATTAATATCCCAGCCGGGGAGGAAAAGCAACATTCCCAGCCGCGCCATTTTGGAAAAAACAGGATAACGTCTTTCTTACGTTCTTATGCGATTTTAAATGCAGTCTGTCATTTATCGATACTACAGCAAACTATTAAAACCGAGTACGTAATCAATTAAGTACGCAAAGTTTGACTGTATTTGTGAAATAGGTCTCGTAGCCATCAATGAAGTCGCTGTAATTGAGTGCGCGATTTTGTGTGGGGATAACATATTAAAGATCAACACATTTTTTTTCCTTGCTTTTAATGAATGGCTATACAAGAGAACAGCTTACATAGAAATGAAAGGCGTTAGTAAGGTTAGTAGATTAGGAATATACATATAATGGCAGGACATGCATCCATTTGCCGAGATCTTGCGCAAGCTTTATCAAGATTTGACAGCAAGTCAAACCTCAGTGAGGCGAACATTTACACCTCCATTTTAATGCTTTCGTCACGTTTCACTTTTAAAACTTGCGTGCTGCCGTATATGAGGTAAAGTAAAATGGTATTAATAGGTTAGTTAAACGTTAAAGCTGTTCTCCATTCGTGTCCGTCTTCCGTAGTTTCCATGGTTTGTTAGCAGGTCACAGGTAATCATTTACGTTCATCGTAGCCCCAGTCTCCCGACTCATTTCATTGGTTATTGATGGTGCCGGAGTTTCCTGGTCAGCGGCTGTTGGTGGTGAGTCGTAAACCTGCGGTGTTGCCATGTCGGCGGGTGGACTGGGGTCTATAGAGTTTGAGGCCTGAGGTTCATCAGCTTGCTGTATGGTAGTTTGTGCAGCAGGTTGGTCTAGCGGAATGAATAGTAACTTTTAAATCAATAGCCACTCAAAGCTGGTTTTAAGAGGGCACTGTTGGCAAAAACCAATATGTAGATTCGCTCTTAATTATGACAAAATATTTACAAGGCTAAAAAATGTTTAAAAAGGTAAAACACCAAACGTTTTCGACGTAATCTCATCTTCAGGGTGGAAAAACTATCCGCCACTCGCATAATTGATAACCGTTAGGTAATTCTCGATTGGAAGTTTCGCCATGTAACAGTGAATTTGTTTGTTTAAGCTAGGTTGCCATTGTTGGATCATTAGGCCTTCTAGGATTCTTCGCTCGTGAAAAGATTGGGCGGTACGGAGTATGTGCCAGCTAAAGGAATGCAAAGGGCTCTCGCACGGGTGACGGGCAGGTTCAGAGGTTCTGAAATGATGTTACGGTCAGCAAACTCTTCATTCCCTCGGGCCTAAACTTCATAACCTACGAGACCGACCAACTGAATTCGACACCTTTACTCTAGCATATGTTACTTGGCAACTCGGCGCAGTGAACACGAATTGTCACCCGCGGGTCATCTGAGTTTCTACAAATAACAGTGCCTGTGCCACAATTACTGAACCACTTATAATCCCACAAATCAATTCAAACTATGAAAACGACCTAATTTTCTTTTTGAAGAAATTGGAAAAGAACAGAACCACTTGGAAGTGTTGCTCGTTGATATTCATTTAAATTGTCGTTCGCACCTGATAAAAGAAAAATTGGCTTTCTTCTTAATGGAGTTTCAACTTAATGTAAACTTGGTTCATTCTGTCCAGTCTTTTATCTCTCAATCAAATTACGTGACTGTTTTTCATTTTGTGCTTATTGTTGTTATTGCTTCCTTTTTCGGCACCACCGTCATTTTGTCTTTTGAAGAAAATAAGAGTAAACGGCACAAGCTCTCTCGATGAACAGTTTACTCTTAGAGTAAATACCGAGTTAATAATATTGTTTAAATATCAAAAAACAAAATGGTTGAGTGATTTTAAAGTAATCGTTGGGTAAGTTCAGATTAAATGTCTTGAGATCAGAATCGGCCGGTAAATAAAGCCACCGATTATTGTCACATACCTCTCACTTTTCGGAGACTAAATTTGCTGACAGCTTTCCTTAGCAGCTTACTCCAACCCTTTCTTCCTCGCATCCTAGCCTTTCCGTAACGAAGCCGGATTCGTCGAAGACGTCCGCGTAACACAGCACGCAGCTTATTACAGCAGTTCCTCACACGTCGCCACATTCGTCCGTAACGTAACTGCAAGGCTCCTCCTCTGGATGGCACATATTTCCAGCGCCCTCCAATGCGGATCCCGAATCGACGACCTCGCAGCGTGACCCTTCTTCTCTTGCCCCGATATTTTATAGTCCAATATCCGCGCCGTTTCTTAACGAGTCTCCACCTGCCTCCGTACCTGAGTCGCATCTTCACGTAGGTCTTTCTTCGTCTGAAACCTTTCCATTTCTTTCCGTACCAGATCGTTGGTCGTCCTCGTCGGAATCGGATTGGTCTTCCTTTTCGCCTATAGTGCACCATCAAGCGTCCTTTGCGAGGGTATATCCAGCGTAGTTTACCGCGGACATACATCTTCAAACGACGAACGATACGTCTAACTGGTCTCCAAGGCCTTCTGCCGTAGCGTACCCAGACTCCTCTGCTTCGTATTCTGTGAAATGAACAGGAAAACGGAGGAACTTCAAGGACTGCTTGGAAAAGGATAATTAAGCTGCCTATTGATTTTTTTCCATGCAGCAAATATTATGACAACAGCGTTAGATTCTCTTACCTAAGGCCATAGTACTTGGTACCAACACGGAACCTTAGTCGCCCACGCGTCCTTCGGACCCTTCTGAATCGTTTGCCATATTTGAAGACAATTCTACCATTACGCTGTCCGTATCGGCGTCGACGTCTGCGTCTCCTGCGTCTGATCCTTCGCCAGTACCGTCTTAACCTTTTCCGTCTTCGTCTTCTCCTTGCACGGCGACCACGGCGCGTCGAAGGACGTCTCCATCGTTTGTTGTAAAAGAATCTTAATTTACCATAGATGAATCGAATTGGTCTGGTTTTTCTGCGGTAAAGGACGCGAAGGGTCTTACCGACTCGCCTTAAGCGTCTGTACCGTCTCTTCAGAAGAACCCTCACTCTTCGTATTCCGACTCGGTACCATCTTCTTCCAAAGTAATAGCGGACTATGCCCAGTCGGATGCTAACACAAAAGGGAAAATCAGGAACTGATCAGTTTTAAGCCCCTAGTCAGATGCTGTTGGGTCTGTAATTCCCAAGCTATTGTTGTTTGTGATGTCACTCTGGGGCGGATACAGGATTTCAGAGAAGGGAGTTGGAGATGTGGACCAGCGAAGGCGGTTCCCTTTAGAGGTAGCCGGGGGCATGCATTCTGCCCCCCCCCCCCCACACCGCCGACCCCCTCCCCTACCAAACAACAAAAAAATTTTAGAATTGAGGTCCTCGAAAATGGGATGTCTCATTTTGTTTTTTAATTTAGCGGGTTTGACCGAACCCCGAGGTCTTTTCATTGCACGCCCGAGAAACAAATAGAGTATGAGCTTGTGGTTTTNAAAAAAACATTATACTGTAGTATGTATCGTTTTTTTACATTATTTGAATGTCTATACACCAGCTGTGAGCATCGATTTCTATATTGCCAATGCCACGGATGTTCTTTAAAGGAACAATGTCAAAATACTTGAAGTCATATTTCCGATCTACAAAATGACTTTAAATTACCTGAGAATGAAAGTTCTCTTGAGAAGTAATAATGTACAATGAGGTTCACGACTTACGAACAAAAAATCAAGTTTCACCTTGTCTAGGAAGGATGTCTGATAAACCATTTTTCTTTTAGATGAACGCGTTCAGAAGAGTAAAGAGAATATTACCTGATTCTCCTTCGGCGTCCTCCAAGGCGGAATGTTAATCTACCTTTCCACCTGAAGATCTTCCTTGTCTTTCTGCGGTAATAGATCTTGAACGGGCTGTTGCGACGTCTGTATCGCCGGATACGTCTGATTCTGCGCCTCTTTCGTCTTCGATAGCGCCTTACGCGTCGCATCTTCCGCTTGAAGCGTCGGTATTTACGTCTGCGTATGCGGCGACCTTTTCGTTTACGTCTCGGTATGATTCGTCTCCACCTCCTTCTGACACGATACACAGGTTTTCCGCGCCTGAACCCGATTCTGCGGTATTTTCGACCTACCCGGACACAGATCCTGCCTCTGTATCGTCTTGTAGGACGCCATCGGCGTCTGACGAGGAACTGAGGTCGACGTTTGATGGATCTCCACCCTCGTCTGCGCCGTAATAAGATCTTTCCTAATCTGGGTCGATATCTAGTAGATAAAGGAATGGCATTTATAAACACGTAATTATAACAACAGTGGCGTTTATTTGTACACGTTTCCAGGGCTTTTCTCTTTCGCTGCGCCCCGCCTCTGAGAGGTGAGAAGGTGGAACATTTCCCTGCAGGGTATAGTGCCCGTTAGTTCTTTGTTATTCGTCTAACAAAGCTATACCAAATCTGAGTACAGAAGTTATAAAGTGAAAAGCGAAGGAGGAATGTTTTTGATCTGTCATTGTACGTACTTAATTGACTGGGTTTTTTTTTCGTATCGGGCCGCAATTCAAACGTTTCCCTCCTTGCTAGATGCAATATCAATATAATTTCTTTTGCATGGCTTTCCCGTATGTTGTTGTCTTTACGGATCAACAGAGAAATTATCCTTACCTCACAATTCTAAATCGACGTTTAAAACGCATCACAAGGCGCCTTCCTCGCCTGTAAATCTTTCTAAATCGCCTTCTAAACCATACACGCATGACGCAGCCACGTCTTACGCGCCTTCCTCTTCGCCTTCGCCGACGCCGTCGTCTCATTCTTCTCTTTCTCCGGCGTGATCTTCTTCGTCTTCGCCTTCGTCTTCTTCTTCGTATGGTTCTACGTGTCCTCGGTCTTCTCAGAAGCCCTTTGTATTTTATCCGGAATCTGCCGCGTACTATACGCACTGGCCACATTTTATTTCTGAATCGGATACGAGGTTTTCCGCGGTAATATCGCAGTAATCGCCAGCGCCGACCAAAGCGGAACTTTATTGGCCTTCTGCTCAACCATCGCCATCTCTTGCCATAGCGAATTCCAATCCTGGAATTACGGTACCTAATAAATAAAGACGTAAGACGTCAACGGAAGAAGCATTTCGTAATGAATTCTGAAAGTGCCCTGACACTTTTGTGCTTGGACCCTCACCATTTCCGGGTAATTTTGCCCGTGTCCCGCAATTCGATTCAGTATGTTTGAGTATATTTAACCTATTGTTGTCTGCCGTCGGCCTGTCGTCTGGAAACTACCTCGTAAGGTCAATGGAGTTCACTACTAGACTACAATTTTTCAATTTTTTAACAATTAAAAAAAATGCCAAGACGTCTCAAACGCCATTAAGTGACCTAGTTTGTACTAAACGCATATTTCACAAAAGCTATATAAATTACTTCAAAAGGGTGTGTTGTTATATATATTGATAGATTCTTGCATTGTTTCACTGTCTCCAATCTAATAAAAAAGACCAATCACCGTGGATTACTTTTTATTCTACTGACGTTTTTACTTTTGCTAATTTTCCTCTCCAATTATGACAAGTTAAATGATTGTGATGTCATACCTTATTCTTCTCCATGCACCCCTGATTCGAGCTCTTAGGTATCTACCTCGGCGGTAAGCTGGGATCCACCTTCGGCCATATTTAAAATGAAGAACGTTGCGTCGTCTTATTCGTCGCTGACGGCGTCGGTATCGACGACGCCGACGTCTCACTCGCCGCCTTCGTCGTCGTCTTCGTCTCCGTCTCCATTTCTTTCGCCGTCTTGGTCGTCGTGGCTTTCTCCTGATTACTCTCCAGCGCCGACCGTAGCGTATCATGAGCCGTCCTCCCGTTAATCTGAATGGTCTGTACCGCCGTCTAAACCGAAGAACAAGCCTTCCACGACGTCTTACGATATAGCGCCAACCAAAACCCACGCGGACCTTGAAACGCCGTGTGATTCGACGTATTATGCGGCTTTTTCCTTTGTACGTTACTCGGAAGTATCGTCCTCTAAGATATCTGATTGAAATTCAAATAAAATAGAGTCAGAACAGAACTTTCAATATCCTGCTGTCCGACGTGGAGGACGCAAACACAACTCCCGGAGCTCGAATAAATTAGAATAAATTAAATATATAAATTCCAGCAACTGGCAGTCCGGACGTACAATGCTTAAGTCCTGCAGTTCAAGTCATTTGCCATTTTGTCATTTTTCTGTGCGCTATCTCATTTCTACCTACTTTTACCCTAACGCAAGAAGTGAATATACAAGAATGGCTAGAATGTTCACTAACCACAATCTAAAAATTATGTACACGAAGTTATTGTTTCTCCCCCTGAACAATTCTCTACGATATTTTTAAGTGGCATTTCCTTTGTTGTAAATATCATTTTTCTCACCGGAAGGTTATCCATCGACGATGGTAACGCATCCTGTATCCACCCCGCCACCTCACAATCGGTCTCCAACTTCTGCGGTAATAGAAAAGAATCATAGGCCGCCTGCGTCGGCGTATGTAGCGCCGTCTACGTCTTCGACGTCGTCGTTGTAATCGTCGTCGCCAACGCTGTCGCCTTCTTCGTCCTCTCGCACGTCCATAACGCCCTCGTCTTCTTCTCGTCGGTCGCCTCCGTCGTGGTCTTGGTTTTGGTTTCGGCTTCGGTTTTACCGTTTCGTAATGGCTTGGGATAAGCATCTGTACTCGCCCGTGACGAATGGAAATCTTCATTAGTTTGCGGCCTATTCGAACGACTATCATTCGCCTCTTACGTATCAGACTCCTCCAGATGCGGTGGTAGAGTACTTGCACTCTACCCCTAAGTCTGGTCATCCTATGCCATCTTCTTCCAACACCGATGCTAACAACACCACGACGACATCTGCAGGGTAATGAAACATTGAACTGACAAGTGAGCACCGAATTCTGTTATTACACTGCTCCCAATCAGCACATTTTGTTGAGAAGGAATTCAACCGGAAAAAAAGTACGATTCTAATTTGATTCACCAGCATTTTTGTGGGTAATGTAGTAAAATGCAATTCTATTTTATCCTTAGGCAAATTTCACTTGTTGTATACTGGTTTAAGTATATAGTTCGTGAGACTCCCTCCTCGACAACTAAACTAGTTAGAAAAAACGCTGATAAAATATTGCAAAAAGTCAACCCTGAAAGCTTACAAAGGCTAAAACAGGCTCTCTCGTGTGGCTTGATTAATTAAAAGACCATTCCCAACAATTGAGTTAAATAGTGTTTATGCACAAAACAAGTTCTGACCATTTCAAGGGAAGATGAAGGATAAGAGATAAAATTTCCCTTACAAGCGTTACTAAGGAAGAAACCCTTCTCAAGATATATAAGACATGGTACCCCGGCACTACTTCCACAGGTAGTCACCACGCGCGTTGCGTGGATGTTTTTGTGGAGGTATGAAAATATGTGCAAAACCCACGTGGACTGTCCACGCAACAAACTCTGCGTAACAGGATTGGTTATTGCCAGACCCTCCTGGGATCTCCGAAACCGGGATTGACCTAAAAAAAGGTCGGGAGATATGTTACCTTGGGAATAAGGCCTACAGGGGAAATGATCTATCTTGCACATATCTTCCATTGTTCACGTTTAAAATGAGGACCTGCATGGTAACCAGGTGAGGCTGGTGTGGCTTCCTGTCCGAATATCGCGATTTATTTCAATTTATTTATTTATTTATTTATTTATTTATTTCGTAAATGAACAGCTGCTAAACTCGTTTCAGCTTCGGTGCGGACAGGGTATAAATGTGATATTCCAAGCAAAATCAATGAAACAAATAAAGATCTAGTAGTTGCATTCCTGAGTTAACATTACACTGCCAAGAAAAAGCTAGAAGAGTAAAAATTATTTTATATACCTTATTCTACCGTATCGGAATCTCAGTGAACGTCCAATTCGATAAGCTTTCATCCATCGCCCTCTGTAAAATATTCGAAGCACACTTATGCGTCTTCGTTTCCAGCGTATTCTTCGTCTCCTTCCATATTTTCTTCTGCGTCTTCTCAATTGTCTTCGTCTAAATCGTCGCATTCGTCTGCGTATCCTGGCTCTTCGTCTTCGTAACCTACGCCGTCGCCGCTGTCGCCTTTTTCGTCGCCGCATTCGTCGGATTCGCCTTCGTTGTCTTCGCCTTCGTCGTCGCAATCTCCTCCTTCGCCTTCGTACTCTCCTGCGCCGAGGGACTCTGCGAGACCGCCGTTTCACTCGGTACCAACGTCTTCCTCGATATATCTTAATGAATCCCCTTTTAATACGAAGCATAAGCAATTTCCTACCATATCGCAGGCGGAATCTTCGTGATCTCACAATCACTTGTCGCCACCTGGAGCCGTACCTCACTCGAAGGCGTCTGCTTGGTCGGGATAGTCGAATCCATCTTCTTCTGCGGAAAATGCTCACTTTTCCATAGCCAAATCTTGAAATTAAAAGCAACAGAAATTAGTCTCTGAACGGTTAAATTCAAACTACGAGTCACGCTCATTACATAAACAAATTAAATAGAATAAAAATTCTGGATTCAAGCATTGTATACATTGTTAAATATTGTGTAAAGCTATAAGCTCTTTTATTCCGAGCTCCTAAATACCATCCACTTATCGCCTACAAGGATTTGTCAAGTTTGGGGACTGATAAATTGAAATCATTAGTTACCTACTACCATTTGCAGAATCTACCAGTACTGCGCTGGAAAAATTTTCCTGAGCATATCAAGGATTCAAGAAGGGAAACCCTGTACGGTTAACGTTGAAAAACGTGCGTGACATGAATCATTGTAAAATATATCATTGTTATGTCAAAGATCTGTAGGTACGTTTTCTCTAGTAGAAACATAACTTGCTCTTGTTTTGCACTATCGATAGATAGCTCACTTCCTTTTTTACAATATACTATATACTACTGTCTCTGTAGGACCATTGCTTAACTTCGATTTCCCTGGCATGAAGTAATTAGGTGTACCGCAGCCAAGCGCAGGTTTTTTAAAAATTGTTTTATTCTGTCTCAAGCATCCTGAATCTACGAATTTGATTGGCTAATTACGCCGGGCAGTTTCTCACGAAACGGACTCTCGCATCCACTTAAAGAAACTTAGCGTTTGGTTCACTTTAAACTATAGAGTAAAGCCTTGGAGCCGACGGGCTCATAGCTGCCGGAGCTTATTCCGGTTTCTGTAGCATGAAGAGACTAGGAGTATTTCTACTCCCCCTGGACGGGATGCCGGTCCATCGCAGGTCACTCCCCCCCTAATTTGTTGGATTTCCCCAACAATTCGCAGGTACCAAATTTTATACTCCTGGTTGGAGAGAGGCACTGTGAGAGTTAAGTGTCTTGCCCAAGGAAACAACAGTGTCCCCAGCCAGGGTTCGAACCCGTACCGCTCGATCCGGGGACGAGCGCACTAACCGAGAGGCCACCGCGCCTCCCCACTGTAAACTATGTAGCCTATGTAAATGTAAAGAAACACAACGCACAAGTAAAAAGAGATGGGTTTGGATAATGCAAGTTATCAGAACGAAACGCATTAGTTCTCACTGTTAGTGAGTGCACGCTGGCATTTCAATACCTTTTAACCATGCTTATTTCTGCGATTTTAAATTCGTTCGCCACTAACTTTCGAAGTTTTGTCAAAAGAAAAAAAATATATAGAGACATTATTTGTCAGCTTGGTCTGGTACGCATCGAGAAAAACTTTGTCCTTGGCCTTGAAACGGCCCTCGGCCACAAACCTTTTATCGATACGGACCTCCCGTCGGAAAACTTACAACTATTCCTTTTTCATCAGGTTAATTTCTTAAGGCCCGTTTACACAGGCGATATTTGTCGGGCCGTAACTGCAAATTCAAAATCACGCGTGTCAACCAGCTGCGATTTCAGTGCGATTCTAATGCGATTTATTGCCCCGATATCGCAGGAGTTAAGAACGTGCTCGATTTTACGACGATTTCCTATTACGAAATTGACAACCATGAACCACAAGGGGCCTCTCGGGAGGTCTTGTTGTCACGCAAGAGTTGAGTAAGGACAAAAAACACGAGCTCGAAACCGACTGTGAACATACAAGAGGAACTTCTAGTTGAGCTATGGCGAAAATGCCCTTGCTTACACCAAACAAATTCCAATGGTTACAAGAAGAGCGACAAAAGCGCTGCAGCTATGGTGGAAATTCAGAGAAGGCCACTTCGAGGAGGCTTGCATTGTTATGTCTTTTATTGAGCACTGAAGACCGCAGTGGCAATGCATGGACAAGCAGCAGCTAAGTCTTGCTTTACTTCCGTGCGGTATATTTACTAAGTAGTTCACAGAAGCAAAAAAAGAGAAAAATAAGAGGTTGGGTAAATCCCACTCATCACGACGCCATTTTGCAACCAAAACACGTGCGCCTGCTCTGTGGCGAAACTGCTGCTCAAAGATACCGCTTTTTGTAAGTTGAAATCCAATCTCGGCGAGTCGCGGCGATAAAAAATCGCAATAAAATCCCAGCCACGCGCTATTTTAAATTTGCAATTTCGGCGCGACGATACGCGATAAAAATCGCCTGTGTAATTAGGGCGAAATGTAAACGGTGACGTCAGCAAAGATGGCCCTCTTGACAAAAAGGCAAGGTAGGTACGAATTTTTCTGCATTCTCAACATTTCAAACCGCAGAAAGACGTTCAATCATTTATTGCAAACTTTTTTGTGGTTACGAATCTCGAGATTTGAAGATACTCAATTTACCTGACTACTATAAATCTTCGTCCCATTCGGAAAACCATCCTGTTTCCTCTTCTGAAAGTACGTCTCCACCTTCTTGCGAAGTAGATTAGCGCTACGCTTCTGGCCAGTCGCCTACGGCGCCTTCGTCTGCGTCGTCTGCGCCTTCTTCTGCGTCTTCTTGTTCTTCTAGTTCGTCGCCTTCTCCTCCTGTGCCTTCTTCTCGCTCGTCGTAACTTTCGTCTCCGCCATCTTCGCCTTACCCTTTGTCGTTTCCTTCTTCTTCTCAGTCGTCTGAGGCGTCTTAATCGTCTCAGCCGTTTCAGTCGACCTAACCGTCGTCGCCTCCCCAACCAAAGCCGTCTTCTTCTCCTCGTCCTCCTCAAGTAACCTTTCCTTCGTCGCCGTCGTCGTCGTCTTCGTCTTCTTCGTCTAAAACGTAGCCTCAATCTTCCGCGGCGGACCGATACCTTTCTGTAACGTTGCTTTATACGTACCACAAATTTACGGCGTCTGTATAAAATTCGTCTCCACCGTCCGCGATAGCGCATCTTCACACGGTTTCTACGGCGAAGTTTAAACCATCTTCGCCTCTTCCATACACTCCAGCGGCCACGGCGACACCTGCACAAGAAGAAAGAGATACATAATTTGAAAATTGTAATCTGATATGAGAGCAAAAGTTACTCTTAACACTTGGAATTTAAGATTTTCATTTAAGAAGCGAGCGAAATCAACATATAACGTCCGAATCAAAAAGCTACGGGCACATAAGCAACTAATTCACGCAAAAGGCATATCTGCTTGTACCACACCCATTAACTGACTATTAATTAAACACACAATCTGATTGGCCACGTCTGTAACAAAAACTCATGTCACCCCCTCCTAATAATTAAAAAACTAGACCGCTCGATCTCGGTTTCTATCGGCTGACTGTTGGTGTGGGGAGGAACCCCGAGAAAGCTATCAAAGTCGATAGAAACTGAAAGGGAACTGCCTAACCGGCGGAGCCTTCGGGAAAAGGTGGCTTTGGAGACATATGATTTGATTGGATTGGCTTTCATGACTGACTCAGCGCTGGTTTCACAGAGGGAATTTGAAAGAGAAGTTTAACTCTGACTGGAGTGGTATTCATATGTTTCGTTATGGAGGACTCCCCTAAAAATGTTTTCCGAAAGCCAGTGTTCAACTTCCTAAAGGTGATTTGGTCAAACGGTTTTCGTAAGTGATCAACCACCGGATATTTCGGAAAGGAAAACAGCGTTGAATTAGTGAATATCCACCGATCCCTTTTTTTGTCCCGTGCCAAGGCCCCGCCGGCAACGAGAGACAGGTGGTTCTGAGGACGAGGATGCAGGCCTGGAAGGCGTATTTTCGGGGAAGGAAGACTTCACCAGAAATTCATTTGTCAAGTACAAAAATTTGACGGGGCTTGTCCTTCTGTATGCGAGAACTCAAAACCTGGATAAGACTTCTCTTATGTAGACCTCTCATCTAATTAATGCGAACCTACTTTTAATAATATACAAGGATTCCCTTACCTGATCTTCCGAATTCCTTTCCTGGTTCGGAATCGCAAGTATCCCCTTCGTCGGAAGACTCTTCTCCATTTTCTACCATACCAAAATCGAACCTTGTATCTACGACGTCTTCTTCCTCGCTTTCTTCCTCCTCTCCACAACTTTCTTTTTCGTCGTCGTCTCCTTATTCCGCGTCTTCTTTGTCGTCTGTACTTCCTTCTTAGCCTTCTTCTTCGCTGTCTCCTTCGTCTAAGATATCTTCGTCGTCGTCGTTTAGTTCTCCTGCGTCGTCTCCTTATTCTTCGTCGCCGCCTTCTTCTCCTTCGTATAATTCGCCTTCTTCTCCTTCTTCGATACCCTCGCTTTCGTCTTACAATTCTCTTCCACCCTCTCCTTAATTTAATCCTTACTCCTCCTCTTCGGATCTTTATTCTACATCTTCGCCTGCCGTAGCGCACACGGAATGCACGCTTGTAGCGCACAACTGTTTTCCATCGCTTGTTGACCAGGACTCTTAATCGTCTACTGGGTCTCCTCAAATACCTCCACCTTCCGCGACGGCGCACATAGAGTTTGCCTCTGGTGCATCTTATAGGGGAAATGAAAACAACAAGTCAAGTCATTTTACCCTAATATAGGGATCACAGCGAAATCCTGACCAAACCCTCTCCGAAGGCTCGACATATCTTCCGAAGCAAAGCAATAATGAGGAAAACAAGGAGTGCAATCATTAAAATTCACTGTACTAATGTAGAAAAAGTATCAACATCAACCTCACGATTCAGTCTAGGTAGGGGTCTAGGTAAGATACACGATTTATCGACTTACTACTAAGTTAAAAATGGTAAGAATGTTATTTTGCGTCCACGCTACGGATCGTTAGCCTGTGAGACTAAATCAACGAGAAAACAAAAAACAGAAAAACAAACAAACAAGTACAAACATTGAATAAGGTCCAAAACATATCACATCCCAAACCTGATTCGTCTTGGCTTCTTCCTGAATCGGAAGTACAACTTTTGTCTCAGGCGGTAGACAGGTCTCCATCTTTTATTATACTTCAGCCGCAAGACACTGTAACGCTGTCGTCTTCGTCGACGGCGCCTTCTTCTTCTTGCCCTACGTCTTCTCCTTCTTGTTCTTCTTCTGCGTCTTCGCCGTCTTCGCCTTCTTCTCCTAACCTTTCCCCTTCGTCTTCTATTTCTTCTGTATCTTCTACGCCTTCGTCGTCGTCTCCTCCTTCTTACTTTCCTATATTTTCTGCGACGTCGCCGATTAATTCGTCTTGTACGTCCGTACCTTCTCATTTTTCGTCCCCTCCTACCCAATCGTCGCCCCTTCCATCTTCGCCACCGTCGCCTTTTAAGCGTTCTCCATATCTTGCCATACCTCATCTTAACACGTGAGCGAATTATTCTTATTTTTCTCCATCGTAAACCGAAGCGTATGCATAGTTTTCGTCTTATTATACGCGCATGTCTCCATTTCCTTCCTGCGTAGAACTTAAGCTGGCGCGCTGTTCTCCATCCTTTTCGGGATTTCGTTAGAACTCGCCCCCTGTTGAACCTGGTGAGGTTTACCGGGAAAAAAACTTTAGTAACAAAGCGACCCAATATGATTCTTTATAGGGTGAGTGAGTGACTGAGTGAGTGATGAGTAGTGGATGGCCTACTATGCACCTGCAATATTTTTCGTAGGATTATCCGAGCATTATACTAAGATTGCACACTATACCTTGCGCATACTGAAAGGTTTTTATCCTTGTTATTATTCTTCTCTTTCGATTTCCACTTGCAAAACTACACGTCTATATCATAGTTATTTAAACTGCTCATACCTTATCCAAATCTTTCTTCTATTGAAACGGAACACTAGGCGCCCTCTTCGTCGGTACACCTTCCTCCATCTTCTGTAATATCTGATCTTCATTACACAGCCACGCCTTCTTCTGCGGCCTCGACGTCTTCTTCTGGGTCTGTATCGCCTCACTCGTTTCCTTCTTCTTCGTCGGTTTCGCCTCCTTCTTCGCCTTCGCCTTCGTTGTCTACTTCGTCTCCTTCGTCTCCTCCTTAGCCTCTTTCTACGCCTTCTTCGCCTCAACCTTCTTCTTCTTCGTCTGTGTCTTCGCCTTCTTCTTCTTCGTCGTCGTCTTCGCCTGGACACCCTTCGACGTCGATACCTAATCCTCTTCCATTTTTTATTCACTCGTACCGCCACTCTTCCATTCCTGTAGATTCTTATACGTCTGTACCTTCTCATGTAACGAATTTGGAATCCTGCACGAACCCCTCGCCATAGTCGTAGAAGCTTGATTTGAACGTTACGGAGTTTAATTGGCCTTCTTCTGTAGCGAAGTGTTATTGACTTGCGATGAATTCTAAAATAGAATGGAAAAACATTACATAGAGCACGTTGAGGTAAGAATAATTGTCAATAATCAATCATGCTTTAGTGTTCGATTTTGAGGCAACTTTGACTGGCTGCTAAATGCGACAAAGTAATTCTATTTGAAACCAGCGCGAAGACAACTCTTTACGGTCCAGAGACAAAAATCTTAATTTCAAACAAATAATTTTCGAGTTAACTCAATGACTAATGATTGCAAACACCGTGTGGATAAGGCAACTCTGCAGTCAATTTTTACCTCAGTGGAAGATATTATTCCCACATTAACAACAGAACAAAAATAACTTCAAGCCTAGTGATAAAATAATTGTACACCCGTGTGCATGGCAAGCGTCCATTCAAAGTTCCCGGGCTGAATTCAAATCATTTTTGCCCCTCTTTTGTTGCGCTGCAGGATCACATCAACGAAATTTGAATATCGTCTGCAGCCAATAAAAATTGTGTGTTCTAACGGCCAACATCCACGCGGCTCAAACGTGATTGGAGGGATAACAAACAAACTCAGATTCACATGGTCCAAATTCGTGCTGTGACTGGATAAAAACTCTCAGGTGTATCTGTTTGAAGTCGTTACACTGTTATTATTTTGGGTTGAAAAAAATGGCAAATCAGAGGTTGCGAAGCTAATCACAGCGTTGGAAAAAATATCTACATAAGAGGGCGTTGGATAAGCTCCGGCTGTATGGACCACTTGGCCCGACGCAGAATTAACCTGGTACGACACATAGGATAAATGTAATGGAAGCACCCCAAATATGAATCCCTAATATTTTGATATCGGTCCGTTTAGCTTATATTTCGTAGTAATCCGAGAAATACTAACGTACTTTCATTAGATGTCTCATAAGGACTGGGAACTACCGAATTCACGAATTTGATTGGCTGAAATTGATATTGAGCACGGTATAGATTTTCCCACCCAGACCGGCATCTAGACTGGTTACATTTTGCGGTGAAAAAGTTGCAAGCTAATATAAACGAATATTGACGATTTTCTTTCTAAAATATTATTGGAAGTGCCAAAAAGCCTGATGAGAAGAAAAACAGTAAAGAGAACGAGCAAACTTTGGCAGATTTAGGTTCAGCTCATCGCCGTTCTAAAGCAAAATCAGTCAGCTAGTACAAACCAGTTACATTAACCGAATTAAATTTTTATTATAACATAGCCCGCGCGTTGGTCCTATCTGATTCCTATTCAGCCATCATGAAAAAAATCTCCATTTACGCACGGCCGTGCGTAAATAACATGACGTTTGCAGTTTTATTTTAGCTGCGGTACTTCCGTCGAGTTTAGCTGCGAGTTCCTTTTGTTAAAGTTTCGGCGATGTGAACATTATTCTGAACAATCATTCAATCCTGGCTTCTTGCAAACACTACTGGCTTCGAGACTTTGACTTTTGCTAAGCTGAGATGTTTACTAAAAGCTGCGCGTATATCGAGTTATGGATGCACTTGGGAAATTTGGAGAGCATTCAGGAAGTTAGAGTTGCGCCTCGAGCAACTCTTACACTTCTTGAGTGCTCTCCAAACTTCCCGCGTGCATACATAACACGATATACGCACGCTAAGCATGAACCGATTGTTTATTGTTTGCCATTTACTGTACATCTTATTAACCGGGTTTAGTCGGTCTGTATAGGAGAATCTTGACCTCTTTCGTGTGGACACACCTCACTGCGCTCGGTCAGTACTCACGAACTCAGTCAAGATTCTCCTATACAGACCTCCCGCTCGGTTAATAACAGCTAATTATTACATTGCCAGCGCTGTGAGCGGGAAAGATAAACCGAATCCTGTGCTGTGATTGGCTACCCGAGCGGGCAAGATGGCGCTATCTTGCCCGCTCGGGATTACCCGCTGTGTCGAGCAAGAAATTAGTGAAATTTTTCCATATAATAGTTCCTTTATTGACTAAGCTTGTTCGATCAAGATGGATATAGGCCTCGTTCGTTTTGCCCAAATGAAAGAACTTGGCCATATCCAGCCATCTTGACCTCACGTTTGGTTAATAAACCATATATCATCATTCTTTATAAGTCCTCGGCTTAAACGTAACCATCGAGTAGGTAACTGTACTTCTTTTAATTTTTCTTACCTGACTGGGTAACGTTTTCTTCTAACACGGACAAAGAGTCGCCTCCTTCTCCTAGTCAAATATCTCCATTTCCTTCTGAAATATACTCGTATCCTACAGCGACGTCTTCGCCTTATTCGTCTTCGCCTTCGTCGTCTTCTTCTTCTCCTTCGCACGCGTCTCCTTCTTCTTCGTCGCCGCCGTCTTCTGCGCATTCTACGTTTGTATCTTCTTCTCTTCCTCAACTTTCGTCTTCTCCATCTTGTTCGACGTCGACGTATTCGTCTGCGTCTACCTCCCCGTCTCCTGCGTCGACGCCTCCTAATCCTTCTCCATATTTTTCTGAGTTTTAGGTAAACCCTTCCTCGTCGCAGTCGAAGTTTGACGGTTCTTCTCCTGACCCGGATCCTCCAGCGTCGCCCGTACCGTTGTACACCTCGCCATCTTTTGTACACTCTAACTTTCAACCGTTTGGTGAAACGAAGTATCTTACGCCATCTTCCTCGTTTACTTCTTACATAAATGCTTCCTCTGCGGAATCTGGTCATAGAAAGAGAACATTGTTAGGAACTATGATTATCCATAAAATCCTAACGGTTCAAAAGAGTGACTCATGTTTAGTTAACCTTTTCAGCAATCTCCAAATTAAAGGATTTTAAACTACAATGAATACATCGTGTATACCACTACAAATGATATGTACCAGGTTTTACGAGAACTGAGAATATCCCCACACTCCTGACAGTATATGCTATTTAAAAGACGTAACTTTAAACGCAAAGCGAGTTTTGGAGAACTTGAGAATTATCTTGGGTTGTCCAATAAGCTGAATCCGTCGGGTTGTGGAATATTATTAGGAATAAGCAGAAAAAAGGAATCTTAAGGACTACCAACCGCGCGCGGTTTCACACTGATTCCCATAGCACTAGTAGTTCTCCGGTGAAGTTTCGATATTATCGTAAAAAGCAAGAACAAACCGTCCACGTTTTTCTATATTCTTCTTAACAAATAGATTCAATCTTGCCGCGCGTCTTATCAGTAAAAGATCGCAGATGACGTCAAAATGTGCTAAGAACAAAAAAGTGGCACGGTGTGTCACTGATGTTGTTACCAAAATTTGACGTCTTCTGTGATCTAGACGCACGGCAACATGGAACCTATCTGTTTTATATAATAAAAACAAACAGAACAACTGTTACTGACGTTATCTGTGCGTCTGTCATAAGTACGGACCAAACAAAATGCGGGAATAGTTTGAGTTATCAAATAAATTTCATAGATCATAAAAAATGAGGTCATGAAGTGTCCAAAACTTTGAAGTGAAACCAGGCGTTTGCAGCTTGCGGTTCCACGCGAGTTTATAATTTAATAACCCTATGGGCCTAATAGCGCGACGAGGCGAGATGATGATGAGATGATAAGCGTGTAGATCATAAAAATGTGGTTGATTGGTTAACTACCCCTTCCACATCAATACTATAAGAGGAAAGACCTAATTGCATACATACGATACTCCGCCACTGATACCTTGTTGGGAGCAGATCAAGTTTGTCAGATGAGCGCGAAATCACGACCTCTTTGTAATCACGTTGATGCGTAGGCTGACCTTAAAGACGCAAAATCCCTGAAATTCATACCGAACTCGGCCAAACCTAATCCGGTCACATCAGATTTCGCAGGATTTTAGGAAAGCAGGCAACCCGCAGTCTGATAAGCTACTGGGGTAGATTTATACTTATCCTATAAAGGAAACTATTCTAAACTGCTACTTATATTTTTCATGCTCGCAATGTTAAAGGCTGAATCAGTCTTTTTGGAAGATTTCAAAGAAAGTACCTTAATCGTCGTTGTCTTCGTTTATAGGTGAATGTGTACTTGCGGCCCCGTCGGATTACTGTACGCCAGCGACGTCTCCAATAGAAACGTAGTCGGCTGCGCCTTCGCCGTCGTCGCTTGCGTCTCAGCTTGCGCAGATATCGCCTTCTCCTTCTACGCCGTCGGCGCATCCTTCGCCTTCTTCTTTGTTTTCTTCGCCTGAGTTTTCTTCTCCTTCTTCTTGACCGTCGCCTTCTTCCTCGTCTGCCATATCGTCTTCGTCTGCGCCTCAGTCCCTTCCATCGTCCCTTATAGCGTAATGTCAATCGCCCGTATCTGATTCGTATCATTCTGTACCCCTTTCTGTAGAGGAGCCTAAATCGCCCTCGATAGACACGCAGCCTTCTGTACCTTCGGCCATACCTGATCTTAATATACGGTTTACGGTCAACACGCCATGTTCCTCTCCAATAGACCCTTACTGTCTTACGTTGGATCCTGTGGGACATTGACAGAATGATAAAGGTTACAAAATAGAGCCATAACAAAATTCTCGAATCTGATTAGCTATCAGCGACACCAATTTGTACATGCGAATTGACTACATGTTGTCCAGGCATCTAGAAATAATTGGACGTTAAAAAGCAAACTACCACGAAACAGAAGACCCATTTTGTTAATTTCTCGTATGATTACTGACCAAATCGAACCAAAAGAAGTCGTACAACCATTATTAATTTAACACGACAATAAAATAGAATAGTAATAGGTCAAGTACCGTAAAAATCTCAAGAGGTCTACAACTATTTGGCACGTGCAACACTCGCGCTACGTTTTTTTTTAATTTTACAAGTCGCCTTTTTACGGCGCGCGTTTAACGTGCAAACACGTGTAAACACGTGTAAGGCTTCAGCACTAACCGAAACGTCTTGAAGTAACATCATAAAAACAGTTAGCGGCAAACCACTATCTTACAATGTCATCTCTTAACTACAATTACACAAGTGTTAAACACTGGGCAAGGATTGACCTATAGTCTACGACAGGGGTGGAGGCATTTTCGAAGGGGTTCATTGTATGAAACCTTAATATCGGATTATTACCATATGTCGACTAAGGAGGACTAAACAACCAGCGTACCTGATTAATCTCCATCCGTAGCGCCCGTAGCGGAATCTCAATGAGTTCCCTCTCCTAAATACGCGCCTCCATTTACCGTAGTAACGATAAATGATTTGCGTTCCTCTTCGCCTTATTTTTCGCCTTTGCCGTCTTCGCCTTCTTCTGCGTCGTCTTTGTCGTCTTCGCCGTCTTCGTCTTCTCCTTCTTCGTCTTCTTTGTCTTCGTCTCCTCCTCCTTCTTCGCTTCCTTCTTCGGATCCTCCGAGTTCTCTTTCCTCGTCGATATTTTCTTCTCATTGTTATCCACCGGCGATATCGTCTCATTTTCACTCTTCCGTAGCGTATTTTTAGCATCCTGATCCTCCGGCCGAAACGGAAAAATAATCGCCTTCGGCGAACTGTTAACGGACGCCATCCACGTTTGTAATAGACTCTGAATCGCCGCCTTGTACCTCGTATGATTTGCCATCGTCTTCCGTATTTGAATCTGAATATGCCACGGTAAAATCTGGTGATTACAAAGTAACAACAGTTATATTAGAATTTTCATCTGTCAACAGTCGATTTTTAAGGCATGGCCAGGAAGTGTTATTAATCTCCATCGATCTTCCTCAATTCTTGCAAAGACGCTTTTCCCTGAGGGAATCCGAGATTTAATTTCAGTTGCAGATAATAACGTGCTCACGCGTCGCAACGAAAATGGGTATTGACACCCCAAAAGAACCCGCAGGGGAAAAGCGTTCACATCCAAGACTAGAAAATGGCAGGGAAGCTGTTGTTTTGTTTATTTTCTTTACCAGTATCCTCTTCGACGTAATTTCAGTTTACAATAGCTCTAATAAGAATTGTAAGACGGAACATTACGTCTTTTACCTGGAAGCAGATGAGAAAAGAATTCTTCTACAATTAATCAATGCAGACATAAAGTCCGCAATGGACAACAAAAACTGAAATAAGTGATAATATGTTAATTATGAAATGTAAACTTTGTTCAATTAAGCAGCTACTTCTGGATCCAGTGAAGTAAGTCTATTTCATGAAAACAACATAAAACTCGTCGTGACGAGTTGAACAGTTAATGCATTTCAATAAAACAGCTTACCGGAGAATCACTGGTCGTCGCTTATATCGGAACCTCAAGAACTTGCCTCGCCGATACACTAGTCTCCAACGCCGCCGCCACTTGAATCGCAAGACGCATCGGCGACGACGCCTTCGTCTTCGCCTTCGCCTTCGTCGTCTGCGTCTGGCAATCCTCCTCTTCCTGCGCTTTCTGCGTCTGCGTCGTCTTCGTCTCTTCCTTAACTTTCCTCGCCTACCTCTGTATCGCCGCCGCCGTCTGGGTCTGATCATCCTCCAACTCCTTCTAAAACGCCATAGTACTTTTCCTCCTCTGATCAACAATTTGCGGTACTTACGCTTGTAGCGCAGGAAGAAGCGTCTCTTAAAAACTCGTACGCGACGCCATCCTCTTCGCCAGATTCTAAGTTTCGGGCGACGTAAAGTGCGCCATTTTCGTCGTCGTGTTAAGATCTTCAACATACCGCCTATGAATCTGTTAATAGAATCAGCAGACAAGGTTGTTGGAGGGTACTCTGTAATAACTTGGCCTGCATCTGCCTTCTTTTTAAAACTTGACAAAACTTAAGGGCTTTCGCGCAAAAAACTTCGAATATGTAGGTATTTTCAAAATTCTTAGTATTATAGTATGTAGTATGATAACGAGCCACTGTCTGAAATACCAAAAATGGGGTTCACTAGAGTGATCAAATGCCATAATTCTCAAAATCAACCATTTCCGAGTTACCTTTCGCCTCTGTTTCAAAACGAGTCTTCGTGCAAAACCTTTTATATGAAAATGAGTTTGATTTGCATGAAAATGAACATGTCTGCGGAACGCATTTCCATATGTATGGTTTTGAACGAAGACTCCTTTTGACACAGACGCAAAAGTCAACTCAGAAGTGGTCTATTGGCGCACGAAATATGCATGATGACATCAGACTTGCAAAATCACCACCAACCCTCGCTTTGACATTGCAAATTGTAAATGTTATCACGAACAAATTCCCAAAGCAGCAGAGCTGAAAAGAAAACCCCTTTACAAACAACGCGAATGTACCGGAGGTTTGAAAAAATTTTGCACAAACGAGGCTTGGTGGCGAATTTTGAGCATGTGACGTAATTATTCGTAAGGTCCATTCTATTATGGGGGCGGGGGTGTAAAGTTTCAAATTTCTGATGTATGTAGCACCTTTTTCACTGATCTGTGTTACACAACGCAGAAAAAGGGCAGAAAAAGTGATCTATCGAAGAGAAAATACGGAATTTAAGCAAACTGCGACGGCAACGGCAACGAGACCGCCACCAAATAAAAGATATAGGGAGAAAAAAACATTGTCTGGGCAAGTGCGTTTTAAGCCGTCCTCTGCAAAATACCAGCGTGAAATGACCAAGCTAATTTTTCGTATCTGTGTTTGGAAGTGAACGCTGTCAGTTACATATTTAGTCTGTAAAAGTTTTAGGAGCCATAAGTATACTGAACAGATCTGGAAAATTTTGAAATTTGTACTAGGTAAAATGTAAATTCATTTTTGAATACGCGTCGTAATCAGCGTCGCCGTTGTCACTGCTGAAGCTCCACGATAGGGATCACAGAACCTGAACGTCATCAAATCCTGGCAAAGATATCACACTTGCCACTAGCAATACTAACATCAGTATTTACCTGATATACCGTCTTTTCCTTCCTCTCTTAAGCACAAAACGACGTCCTCTTCGATACACTGGCAACCAGCGTCGTCTGTATCGAATACGCATCACGCAACCACGTCTTCTACGTTTACGCCGTTTCACTCGTCTTCTTCGCCTTACTCGTCTTCTCCTTCTTCTTCTCTTTCGTCTTCTTCTCCGTCTTCTCCTTCTTCTCCTTCTTCGTTTTTTTCTCCTTCTTTTTCGTCTTCTCCTCCTCAGTTTTCGCCGTACTCTTCGGCGCCGATAGCGTCGACTGCGAGTTCTGATTCGTACATACCTTCTGTTGTATCTTACGAGGAATCTTCCGAGTCGGATTTTCAGGATACGACGTCGTCGTCTATAGACTATGGTCAGCTTTCGACGGAATTTACTTGCCAAACGCCAGTACTTTCCTACGCGAAGTGTTATTTTGGGACGTCTTATCAGTAGTCGCCTTTTTCCGAAGATGGTGATCTTTCCTTTAAAGTACCTGATTTGGACATGGCAAAAGAAACATCTACATGTATCACAGTATGAAACAGAAAGACAACGAATACGTACTTAGGTGCATGTTATTCTTCAAGTTTTTGTTTGGCTGGTTTCCTTTGGAGGAACCTATGATTTTTCAGAGGCCACTACCTTTAAAGGTCACTTACGGAGAAGGGGAGGGTTACTACTAAGGGACCGTGACAGGGCTCGAGTGCCATCAATGCTCTTGTTTGAACTTGTGTATTCTTCCAGTGCTCTACCAATCCAAGTTTATATCAGTTACAGTCAAACTACTGGTGAAAACTGGCACATATATCGTTAACGTAATCGTTTCTTGGCGCATGACACCGATACCGACTACAGTAGGTATAGCAAAATCGCCTCCGATAAGGGAAAAGAAATAAAAAATGACACCAGAAAGTACACAATGAACGTACATTAACTGTTACTAATGCTTCTGTTATCATTACCATGGTTTTTGAAAAAGGTATCTCACCTGATTGTTCTGTATCTTCTTCTCATACGAGTTACCAATCTACGACCAAAGCGATATACTTTCCTCCATCTGCCTTTATAGCGGAAGCGCATTACGCAACGGCGACGTCTTCTTCTTCGTCGTCTTCGCCTTCTTCGCCTCCTCCTGCGTCTTCTCTTTCTTCGTCGTCTCCTTCTCTTCTTTCGGCGCCTTAGTCGCCTTCTTGAACGTCGCCTTCTCCTCTTTCTCTTTCGACGTCTCCTCCTAATTCTTCTTCTCCGTAGTCGTCTGATGTATCGACGTATGCGTTGGCGGGGCTTCAATATTCGCCAGCGTCGTTTCCAAAGCCATCTAACTTTACCGCGTGTGATCCTGACAGGTCGGAGTCTCTTTTTGTATCTTATCACGAACCGCCTGCCGCGAATCGTTACTCCTTTCCATCTTACTCCTACACGCAGTTGTATTCGGTTTCGGATGGTGCGCACGGTTTTCCACCTTCTTCCTTTCCTGTAACGCACCACGCGTCTTCCGAAACTAGTGTAAAAGAATATAACTTTCAGTTGAACATTGTGAGCCCCAAAAATCAAATTGCGAATCATTTCATTTTTGCTCTATTTAGAAACTTTTACCAAAACATATAATCCACATCTCACTCTCTTCCCTCTAAAAACCTTAATTCTACTTCAAAGCACCAAAGTTTGGCGTTTGCTTCCAGCCTTGATGATATTAAGCCGGTCACCAGCCCAATTCAATTGAATTTCTTTTTTTTTTGCTACACTTCCGCATTACAGCTGCTATCCTAGGTTACAATACGTCTTAATTAAGTGTCGACTAAAGACAACACCAGGCGCATTACCACAAAAGCTGTGGAGCGTGGCCACCTATTCTGACAAGGCAAAGTCTGTGCGAGGTGGAGGTCGGCTGACACCTTCGGGTCATGTAGCAAAATTGGCAGTGTTGTATTTAAAACTGCTATTTTGACAACCCTTCATTGAAAACAGCCCCTTCTGATGTTTTTACTTCTGACTTACTAGATTCGTTTGTATCCTCTCCGCGTGCGGAACCTAAAGAAACGCCCTCTGCGGTATACGTTTCTCCATCTGTTCAAATAACGGAAACGTACTACGCAGCGACGTCGTTTTCTACGTCTTCTTCGCCTTCGTCGTCTCCTTCTGCGCCTTCTACGTCGTCGACGTCGCCTTCGCCGTCTTCTTCTTAATCGTCTTCGCCTCAGTGCTTTTCTTCTTCGTCGGTATCTCTTCCTTTGTCGCCTTCGTACCCTTCGCAAATATCGTCTTCGTTTCCTTCTAATTCTACGCCTTATTATCTTCCTTCTTCGCCTGGACTTTCTTCGTCTCCTTCGTAGGAATCGCCATTGACGTCTAAAGCGGTACAGAACTCTTCCTCGCCGGATTCTTAGCAGTCTTAATTTTCTCCCGTAGCGGAAACCGAAGCCCCTTCTGCCATAGTTCCGTAATGTACGCCATAAACGTCGTATACGGGCTTGGAATCGAAGACGACTAGTACNCGACTTAATTGCTCATCTATAGTTCCATTATTAGATTCATTTTTTATGTCCAGTATGTCGAAAGCCACAAGGTTGAGAGCACTTTCTCGTTATAGTATTATTATTTTACGTCATTCCAGCAAAGAACAGGTTAATGAATTTTGATACGAATGCTTTAAATCAAATCTTCAAAGTACGAGCTTCTAAAAGTCTTTTTCTACAACCGCAAGAATTCGAATTTCAGATTGAAAATCAGGTCAAAACTGTAAACGCAGTACTTAACGAGAGCAAAAGTCGACATGGGCGAGGAATGAGTTTTCATCAAGACCGGTCAAACGAATTGGACACAGGCAGAAATTGGTAACATCTGCTTGTCAAACTTGCAAAAGGTTTCTTGTACCCTAAAGTTCAAATTAGATGGGAGAGCACAAGATGCACCGGACGAAAGTGTATGCGAGCTGAAGATCAAAAATACGCGATGATTTGAACTTTCGTCGATTTTCGTTGATTCTCGTCCTAAATTAAGTCCTGGTCCCTGCTCACTTAGGGCATTACCTGATACGTCTTGATATCTTCCCGAAACGTATCCATAATAAGCGTCTTGTTCTGTAAACAGGATACCAGCGACGTCCACGGCGAACACGGATCACGCATCTCCGTAGGCGTCGGCGTCTAATTCTCCGTTGCCGTCGTCGTCTTCTCTTATACCTTCTTATTCGTCTCTTTCGCCTCCTCCTCCTTCTTCTCCTTCGTCTAATAATCCTTCGTCGTCGTCTTGTTCTTCTACTCACTCCTCTCCTAATAACCTTCCATCCTCGTTTCCCGAAAATGCTTACTCTTCCTCTAAACAATCTTATTCTTCTAACCCGCCGTCCGTATCTAATCAGTAATGTGCGTCCCCGTTTCTGGATACGTCTCCATCCTCTTCGCAGTCTGACCCGAAGACGGTAATTAGGTTTACGGAATCGAATCAATTTTCTTCTCCACCTGACCATAAGAACACCACGACGATACCTGGAAAACAGGCAAGAAACATCAAGAAAGACGTATTCCTATGAGGTGACCTGTTTTTCTTTGTATAGATTACCAAGTTACAGCAAATTGCTCCTTATATAAAGTGAAACCTCTCCACAACGGCCACCCTGGGGACAGAAGTAAGTGGCCGCTGTAGAGAGGTGGCCGGTATGGGGAGGTATGAGTGTTACATGACACCTGGTTTCCTGGGTTGCAACATTCGTATTTGAAATAAAATTCGTAGAACGCTTTCCCGCTTTGTTGATTACAAGTGTTCCTCGGATCAAAGAGATAACGGGACACAGAACACCGCGAAAGAGCCTGCAACAGATTTATCAGGCAAATANATCGAATCAAAGAAGCAAGTAATTTCTTACCTTAGATACTTGTATTTTCTGCCGTAACGGAAAACTAGACTCTTATTTCGCCTGTACACTCTTCTCCACCTTCCTCTGAATCGGAAACGCAGTACGCAGCTGCGTCTTCTTCTCAAACGCTTTCTGCGCCGTCTACGTCGCCGTCTTTGCCTTCTTCGTCGCCTTCTCAGCTTCCTTCTGTACCGCCTTCTCTTTCTTCTCAACCTCCTCTTCAGTCTCCTTCGTCTTCCTCGCTTTCTATAATAAACTCGCCTCCATCGTCTTCCGATCCGTACTCTCACTCCTCTGCCGATTCTCAGCTTCCTGTTCAGCCTTCTGTATCTCACTCGTAGGGATTTGCCGAACCGTTTGACGAACCTCCACCGTGTTCCGATCCAGACGCGGATCTTTCTACGGATTCGTCGCACGACCTTTCTTCCAATTCTCACTTTTCCTCGTATGAATCTGGATGGAAGCAGCCACAGACATCCAGCGAATTAGTAACAGTTTCAATGATATGAAGACATGATTGATCATTGCAGTTATACATACAACTTAAGCAGTTTTGAAATTAAAGCCTGAAAAACAAATTCTGGCTTGCACGGGATTCGAATCTATGACCTCTGTGATACCGGTACAATGCTGAACCAACTGAGCTCTCAAGCCAACTGGGAGCTAGTCACGTTGTGAGTTCGTACAATACTCGTAGATGGTGAAGAACACAAATGAATATATTTTTCTACGCAGTTGAAATATATGATCTTTCATATATTCAGTTTCAATAATATCGATCTAAAATACTTTTAATTTTAATAAGTGTCACATTTAAGCCACTCAGAGTTTGTAAGTGTTAAAGAGTTTTAAATGAGTCAATTCAACTTAATTGACTTATTTGTGTATGTTGACTTAGACACACCTTTCTCTTGTACCAATAACAGAATTATTCAGTACATCCCTAAAAATGCGTACGCTAAACCACTATATCATTTTCCTTCCAGAGGCAAAACAAACTTTTCCTACCTAAATGGCTTCCAGCCTCTTCCAACTCTAATTCTCAGTCCTCGGCGTTTTTTATACACCTTTCTCCATCTACGGCGGTATTGGAACCATAATACACATCTGCCACGTCTTCTTCGACGTCTCCTGCGCCGTCTTCGACGTCTCCTACGCCGTTTTCGCCGTCTCTTTCGCTGTCGTCTGCGTCGCCTTCTTCGCCTTCTTCTAAGCTGCCTCCGTCGGCGTCTTTGTCGCCTCGCTCTTCGTTTTCTCAAGAAACGCTTTCTATACCTTCTTCTCCTATATCTTCCCCGCCTTCTTCGGTATATCAGTCGTCTCCATCTTCTTCCTCTGTAAACCCTAACTATTCCGCGCGTTAATTTGATCGGTATTCTTCGGCCTTTCCAGGTGTAATACAGTCTGCGGCCATATCGTCGCACTGGTTTCCAAGACCGCCCTACGCGTACACGTATGCGCCGGGTTAGTCTCCTCAGTAGAATCCATCTACGTTTACGCCTGATGTACAGCTTTCGTCTTGCGTACCTTTTTAAGAAAAAGAAAGACACTCCTCACGATGAATAACTGCAAATAAGCTTGTTTGTTTTACCTCCCAACTCAAATACGTTTTCCGATTGGAGGAAAACGTGTCACGTGTCGTGTGTCAAAACTCACTAACTCCCTAGGGAAACAAAAACATGAACTTTCGACTTGCACGTGATCAGATCGTGCTCCTTGAAAACCACGGCAAATTTGTACCCAGCCGGCGTAAAGCAAACGATTTCTTCGCAGTTTTTTTCAACTTTTGAGTTGGGAGGTTTAACAAAACACTTAATGACTGGCCCCGCGGCAGAACATTGAGGGTCTCGGGCAAACAAAACTCACTGTTTCCCTTGGGACCAGTAATTAAGTTTATCGTTGATTCCTTTAGTCTTAAAAATATAAAACTGGCCTACTCCATACTCAAAACATCAGAACGGTTAAAGAAGCGTAAATATCATAAGAATAGAAGAATTCAACACATATGGAGATTTCTCAACAGCCGGATACAGGTTTTTTTACGGCTTGTTTTTCGAACAAAACTGTTGGGATGCAGTTTTTATTTTGGCTTAATAAAGGATTTATTTGGGTATTCCCCCTTTTTCCACTTCAAGCAATTTTGAAACGTTATGACAGCTATTTTTAAGACCGTGAAGGTAACTTTAAAAGAGGAGCGATGGAAAGGATATACAGTCACAGTTTGCAAAGCCAAAACAACTAACAACTTTAACATATTCGTCATACTAGATAAAGACATAGACCCAACCAAAATGATCGAAATTGACCTGATAGACAATACCTGAACCTAACCTCTTGAAACGTTTATTTTTCCTTAGACTTCCGCCAATTTTATATCAAGTATTAAAGTTAAACTTAGGTTTTTGCGCGTTTATATTGAAGACGAAGTCTTACTTTCATTCAGGATTTGATTTTTTAAGACTCACGTCTGCCAAGTGTCACGTTTGTTTAATAAGAAATAAAGACCTCATTCAGCCATAGCATTATGTCTCCGCTGTAGTTACAAAAATAAGATATCCAAACAAGTCGGCGGGCAACAGAAAACACAGGTCCACACAAACTGAAGGATGGCCGAAGAAACGCAAGGAATTTGTACAAAATGTTGGACGGAAAGGAAGGAGCAAAATCGATGGATTAATGACGGCCATTCGCTCATGTGGTGAATTTTTCCAATTCCCTTGTAAAGCAAATGTGCCTGTTGATTTTATGAATGTGGCGCAATTTCCCACGTGGTGTATTTGTTTATTAATGCTAAGTCAAACGTACCTTACTCTCACAAATCTTCTACGCACACGCATCACCAGTCCACCTCGTCTTCTATACACTGGTCTTAATCGACGACGATAGAGTATACGCAGCACACATCGTGTTCTTCTTCTACGTTTCCTTCTCCTACGCCTTGACCTTCTTCTTTGTCTTCTTCGCCTCCTTCTTCTTCGTTTCCTCCTTCTACGTCTTCGCCTTCGTCGTCGTCTTCTCTTTCTCCTGCGCAGTCTTCGTCTTCTTGTGTATCTTCTACGATATCTGCGTGGTATTGTTATCTTCTTCCATACTCGTCCATAGCGGAGCCTCACTCGCCTTCTTGTTATTCTCAGAAGCCTACGTTTCCGTCTGTAAAAGATCCTCAATGTTCTACCATACACCTTGGGTTTCCTCCAAATTCTACCAACAAGTACCTTTACACGTCTTTTGACTGGCCGATAGCGTCCTCTTCGTCCTATTTTCACGCGCCCTCCTCGTATTCTAACAATTCAAACCAAATTCACATTAGCTTGGCACTGCCAGAATAAAATATTTTATAATCGTTTTTTCCTGTGTTCTTAAACATGATTGATCTATTCATACCAGTTATTTGAGTAGCAGAGCAAACCAGTTTATCGTTTGTTTACATATTTGCCGTACTTTCTGCGCCAATATCTAAAGACTACATCACGCTATTAGGTAGTTGCGTTGCATAAAAACTTGTAAAAATTATATGGAAAAGTTCTGTTACTCACTTTAGTAGTTTCACCATGACATAATTTGTAAGTTGAGAAAGTGATGGCTAACCCGGGTTAACTTTCATTTAAAAGAATGTTAGGGTTGTTACAGTTAAATGACAACAAACAACTTGGCGGGTGTAGAGCCGTTTCACGTGTTACATTAGCTTGTGCACGTAATCACATATCAGGCCAAGAAGAAATCTTACTGAGGCAGTCAAACTCCCTTTAACATTTTCGAAGGATAGAAAATTTTGTCCTCCACCTAATTCCAATGACTTCCTTTTCAGATAATTCCCAATGTAGATCGATCGCAACAAAAGAAACAAGATTGGCCACACCGGGTACCCTAGTGTTATTTTCAGGTGGAGACCTTTCTAAGGTTGGGCTCTTATAGAGCTTATTCACTTCAGAGCAAGGCTATTTAACAATAAGATTTTGATATGAAGACATGATAGATCATCGCAGTTATGCACACAACATAAGCAGTTGTGAAATTAAAGCCTGAAAAAAANTTGTGAGTTCGTAATATACCCGTAGATGTTGAGAAGAAACAATACCCGTAGGCGTATTAAGATTTTGAGCTGGAAATTCTTAACAGGTATAGTTGATGAGGCTGCAGACCGAATCAACCATCACCTCATAGAAATCGAGAGCGAAACATTATTTTTTAGTACAATTCTAACTGAAATTTGCTTCCAATAACGATTCCAGTCATTTCTCGTCTTAGCATTAATAGAGCTTCACGCTGTAGAAACATCGCGCGGACTGAGCTCTCACTTTAACTTAGCAGTTGTGTACGCACACTCATCAGTTTCTTTCAATAATTTCAAGTTTTAAAATTTAAGAAACTGTTTCTACTCAACAATTAGATTACGAGATCGACATTTCTATCGCGTGATAGTTGACGAGGGCGCAGCCCGAGTCAACTATCACGCATAGAAATCGAGAGCGAAAAATCTGATTGTTTTAGTATAAATCTACTAGTCGTTCAAAACTTTATCTTAATCCTTTTCACAGCAACCTCGAAAATGCAAAGAAGCAGCCGTCATTTTGTTCACAACGGCACACAGACCATGATCGGAATCATCTACAAACGGCGACAAAAATAGCTGAGATGGCGCAAACATATGGCATTGCCAAATTCATGATTGTTATTGATTTAATGTGGTACTCCAGTCTTCCCTCATTTCCCATTACAATGTTGTAGTTTTCACCAGGGTCTGAGTTCTGCTTACCAACACTGATTTGGGGGGCGGGGGGAAGGGACTCTGAAAAAGCGCAATGTCTCAACACTTTTGTCGCCGATTGTTGGCTCATAAATCAAGATCCGAATCTTCCTAAAGAAATGCAACAAAAAGGTAAAATGCCATTCATGAATAAATCTGCCGCCACTTCTCATCTTGAAATCGACTAGCTTTCGATAACAAGTGACAATATAGAATATAAAACAGTCATTAGGCATTCTTATTACCTCCATCGCCTCCATCTACCCTGTATCTTGATGCAGAAACCCTTACGTCGTCTTATAACTGGTTTCCAACGACCATGATACCGGTAACGCATCACGCAAACTGGTCGCCTTCGTCTCCGTGACAACTTTCTGCGCCTTCGTCGACGTCTTCGGCGTCTTCGTCGTCGACGTCTACGTCGTCGCCTTCGTCGTCGCCTCCGTCGTCTCTTACGCCTTCTCCTTCTTCTTTGTTTTCGTCTTCTACGTCGTCTTATTTGCTTTCTCCTTTTCCATTTCCTTCGTCTTCGTGGCCTAACTATTCTTCTCCACTTTCTTCCAACACGCTTAAGTATACGCCCTCTTAATAGTCTTATCCTCGTATACCCCCTGCCACGTCTTATACATAATCTTCCGCGACGAACTCTTGCAGTTTTCCAACGTCTTCCAACGTTTAGCATCAATCTTCTTCGTAACCCTCGGATTCTACGCCATTTTCCTTTGCGCCTTACGAGCAAGAAGCGTCTGCGATACCTAGTTTAAAATAAAAAAAGATTCTATTGATAAAGCTTTATAAAGGAACTGGCATATTGCCAAGAATGATGATTACACTGTCCTAGCGTGAAACAAAGTTAGTCAACTTATGGGTACCGTCACAGGGTCCGTAAATCCACCGTATATAAGAATTGCCTGGCACCCTATAAAAATGTATGGAGACTATCGCAAAATTGTTTAGAATAATGGGTGATTGGGAGAATAAAACAAAATTAAACAAAGAAAAAATCTCTAAGCCCTGTCAAAGCGACAACACAGTAAGGGCCAGTGTTTTCTATTTCTTGACCATACCATAAACCCTGTTCTTACCGTAATCTTGTATATCTTTTTTTGTAAACGAAGACAAGTTTTCCCCTTCTTCGAATCACTCTCCTCCACCGTCGTCTATAACGGAAACGAAGACGGCAAGAAGGCCGTCTCCTTCGCTTTCGCCTCTGCCGGCGTCGCCTCCTATATCTTCTCCTTTTTCGTCGGCGTCTTCGTCGCCTCCGTCGTCTTCGTCGCCTTCTTGCTTTTCGTCTTCTGCGTCTTCTTTGCCTGACTTTATTCCTCCTGGACCTTCTATACCGCCTTCGGTTTCTTACGATCGTCCAGCGTCGTCTGTATTTGATCCTGAAACGTCTTCCCAATTTGAAAAGTCTGAGTCTCTTCATGAACCGCAGTTTCAGTTTTCTGCCCAATTTGCGCACGTACCTCCATCTCTTGCCAATATTCACCTTAAGGTTCCTGTTAATGGACACCCAAGGCCCTCTCCTACCAACTCTTGCTCTTCCTCTGCTGAATCTAAAGAAGAATTGACACCGCGTCCTCTTATGAGCTTGCGAATTAAAGTCGCTAACTAATAAGCAAAACAACACAGCGTTTAAATTTTTTGCCCAGACAAACTCCAATAGCGGTCTTGGGCTATAAAACTTAATCTGACCATCTCATTTTCCGAGTATCCGGTCGAAGACACGAAGATCTGACAAGTGGCTTCCGCTACCCCTTTTTTTTCTCCTAAGACTCAAATACACAACACACGCACGTGACAAAGTATTAAACAGCACAAAGCTCAATTCAGTTAATCTGAAGAGTTTCCATTTTAACCGAAAACTGAGCAGAAAATATTTGTTTAAAGGCAGAGTGAGATTCCAAGTTAGTACTGTCCTGTTGTCAGGAATTGCCAACAACGAATAACGTTTATGGGAACCAGCGTCATTTTAAACGGATTAAAAATACAGTTTAGTAAAAAGGTGTTCTGTGGAAGAAACCCAAACCAAATTATGTGTAAAAAAGACTTGATTTCTGGAATATTCAGGCTGTTCACTCAAATTAAATCATGGTGTTTTTAGAATACTATCGCTGCTCAAATTTCACTCATTGTAACTCGTACATCTAGGATTTAATAAAGTGGGAAATATACGTACAAGTTACAGTATAATCCTCATATACCAAAGTTACTAGAACTCACCTCAATAACCACCATCGACGCCTGTATAGGAATCTCCAGTTTCTCCCAATTCTACGAATCGGTCTGAAACGGCCAGCATATCTGAAACGTATCAACGAACGTCGAAGTTGTCGTTTTCTTCGTCGCTGTCTTCGCCTTCGTCTTCGCCTTCGCCTACGTAATCGACGTCTCCTTCGTCTTCGTCTTCTTCGTCTTTGTCTTCGCCGCCGTCTCAAACGTCGCCTCCTCAGAATTCGCCTTCTTCGTCCACGTCGTCCTGTTATTGGAAACATCAGCAGCATGTCGTAAATATGGCCGGATAATAAAACAGATATTCACTGAGAATTCAGGCAAATCCCTCAGATATAAGAGTGAAGGAGAGGTGTGAAAGCCTCCTTTGGATTTGAAGTTTACGATCTGAGAACTATTTTGGGGCGAAAACTTTTGCGGTGACTTTTTTGTGGAAAAAGATATTAGAAAAGAGTTTTTTGGAGATCCTGTAGTTTTTGTTGTAAATAATTTCGTCAGTTTCACTGGTGATAAGATTTCCCTACTTTTTTGACTCTCCACTTTCAAAGAATGACTGCAGTCTGTCTTAGTTTTGTGAAAGATACAAGATTAATACAGAAAGGGGGATGCAAAACCTGTCTGCAACTTTCTTGCCGTTTAGTTTAAATCATTTTTATGCAAAGAAAACAAGACGTTTTCTGGGTCTAGCTGGGTCAGCTAGTACAAACCAGTTACATTAAGCGAATTAAAATCTTCTTGTTTGCCGTATAATAAACATCTCGTTAACCGAGCCTAGTCTGTCTGTATGGGAGAATCTTGACCTCGGTCGTGAGTACATACCGAACGTAGTAAGGTCTGTACACACGACCTCGGTCAAGATTCTCCCATACAGACCTCCTGCTCGCTTAATAAGAGCTAAGTATAGTAGCCATACTTCTTAGAAATGAGTATTCAGAGTTAATGTCATTACCTCGTCTAGCTGGTCTTCTGTATCGTAACCGTCTTCCTCTGAACCACTTCCCACGCCAACGAACGTATCCAAGTCTTCCTTTCCTCTTCACAAGAACTCTTCGACCCTTGTACTTTGCAAACCATGTAAATCGACGCCTTATGGGCCGGAACCTTTTACCTAGCCGCACCCAGAATTGTTTCCCAATACGCTTCAGGGCCCTATAACCTTTGCGAAAACGGATCTGGAAAGTTCTTTGGTTTCGATGGAGTGGTCTCAAACGCTTCTTGTAACGTAGATACCAACGTCGACCTTTACGATGAATTCGATGCCACCTTCGTCCCACGTATACTTTCCAAACGCTTCCACGGTTTTGCAGTCGTCGCCATTTGCGCAAGAACTTAATTCTCATACGTCTTCCTATCTTTCGAAGCAGTATAAAACGTTTGCCAACTCTTACACGATATATGGGTCTTCCTCGTCTGAGCTTCCGGTATTTCCTCTTGAACAGCACCCTAGGCCGCCTTAGTCCTTATAAAAAAAGAAAGTGTTAAATTGAGAATTAATGATAATAATACCGTGTAACTGGACAAGACGACCAATCACGCATCAAACAAACAAGTTTTCTCAGAACTGAACAGAAGCTCACAGTGCTAAAATTCCAGTAAGATTTATTTATCATCAGGTAAGTCTCGAAGTAATTGATTCCTTTGTAAGATTTTTTAACGGTCAGAACAATAAAGTAATTACTGGCAATATCGAGCATGAAACAATCACTTACTTCGTCTTCTTTCGTAGGATCTGTTTCGTACTGCAAAGAGAGAAGGACAGAGTACTTAGTAACGCTAAAACCCAACTTTGGTTGATGGATTGATGGATTGATTGATTGATTGATTGATTGATTGATTGATTGATTGATTGATTGACTCATTGATTAATTAATTGACTGACTGATCGATTTGCTGGCTGTTTGATTGATTGATTGCTTGATTGATTGATTGATTGATTGATTGACTGACTGCCTGATTGATTGATTGATTGATTGATTGATTGATTGATTGATTGATTGAACGACTGGCTGATTGATTGATTGATTGATTGACCGACCGCCTAATTGATTCATTGATTATTGATTATAGTCTTCTGTTTTCCATTTTTACTGTGTGATTTTAATGTAATTTTTACCCTTTTTACTTGCTTTATATTGTGAAGCGCATTTGAACATTACTTTATGGAATTTGCGCTATATAAATATATTGTATTATTTATTATTGACTGACTGTCATTGGAAAACTGCGCTAAACTACCGAGTTCAGCACTGCACAGTCAGTTCATTCTCTCAATTTAGAAGCTGGAAGTGGTTTACTTTATCACTCTTTTATTTGAGCAAGCTAATATTGCCTGCTTATCAATTGAAGGGAAAGCACACGACCAGTTGATTTTTTAAGGTTTTAAATGAACTAAAACATGACACCTTCACGATCATGCAAACAAGGAGCTCCCGGTTTTTTTCTTAAACCAATGCATAGAAACATGAATTGGTTGCTAACGTCAGAGCGCCCTCATTAAAATTTTTTACAATAACTGTCTAATTTCTCGCGCGCTGATTGGCCCATTTTTTATCGTCAATAAGAGTACAGACGGATAAAATTTTAGTTTATGCAAGCTTTTAAGTTCAACTTTCAGCTGTCAAACTGTCAACTTTTTTACCAATGAAATTTTATGAACGTTTTTAAGTAACCAATCAAAAAGCGAGAAAAGCTACTGACAATGTTCGCGTCATTTTGAATCAAATTCACTTATCTTTGTTTACGGCAAGTTTAGGGCGTCTTTTCCCCTCATTTATTCCCGGCTTTTGACCATTTTGGGGTCTTGTTATTGTAAAAAACAAATTGACGTCCGCTTTTTATGCGTCTGTCCTCTTATTGATGATAAATTTCACCATAACATCGTCAAAGTTTACTGCGGAACCATTTTGGCAATGTTATTGACGCAATTTACAATCAATAAGAGGACGGACACATAAAAAACTGACGTCCATTTGTTAAACTTACGCCTGAGTCGTCTTCGTTTTCTGTAGCGTATCCTTCGTTTGGACAATAATCCTTTGAAACGGAACTTGAAGAACCTTCTTCTTCCACGTCTTACTCGCCGTACTTTGATACTCTTTCCACGGTACTTGAAGAAACGCAAATGCCTAAATGTGAACCTCACACCACGGCCTTTGAACTTGATGTAAAATCTTCGCCCGCGTCGTGTAACTTTCCTGTAGCGACGCCTGACACGTATCATAAACTTCCGCGTGGTTACCCAGCGTTTTCCAAAACGTAGCATCCACCCTCTTCCGCGCTGGATAACGCGGCATGTTCTTCTTCCAATGCGTACAAACCACCGTCGTCCGCGGCGTCTGGGGCGATACCATCGCCTTCGGAAGTACAGCTTCACTCTTGATGTTAATCGGCCGATACGGAACTTACGGCGTCCAAATGTGAAACGTATAATACGACGACCGCGTCTTANAGGATAACAAAAGTGCACAGGAAGAGCTAAAAATTAAAGGAATAACAGCCACTTAACCACAATTCGAGAGAAAAGTCTCGAGACACTCCACAGCTTCCCAAGCAAAATGGTACTTGTCTTCACCTGCCCCACCCCACCCTCAGTCCAATGTTGATTTCTATTCATCCAACTTCGCGACAATCTGGTTTCAACGTTCTTTTGGAGAAAGGCAACGTGGCCGAGTGGTTAAGGCGCCGGACTTGAAATCCGGAGGTCGCGGGTTTAAGTCCCACTCTGACCATTGAGCTGGAGTTGTTTCTCGATAGACCCTAGTTCAACTCCTCGGCCACGTTTGTAAATAGCCAACTGGTCTGCCTCCTGCCAGTTGGGATTTTTAACCATGTTATGTTCATTCGCATTATTTGTTTCATAATTTTTTTTCCATTTTTCCTAAATGCCCCACTGGAGGAGTGGTCAATTAAGACATACTTTTAAAAGAGGGATTGATCTTTCGCAAAATTGAACAATGACTTCTCGACGCAAATGGATTTGTCACTGGGTGCTACTGTGTTAAGTTTACCAAGGGCTTTTGTTCTGCATTGTGGATTAATTGTGTTGATGTCAACCTGACTTCTTCATCTTTTATTTCCCCTTACGTCTCACCCTAAATTCAATTAATAATACAAAATCAAATGTTAGAATACTTACGCCTTGCCCTTCTTCCTCGTCTTCCATAAAGCCCTAAGACAATAACATGAACTCGATTATATAATTCGTAACAGCGCTGTCATAACCAGTTTCATACCACAATATTGCCAAGAGACAATGCACCTCGTTGTTAAGCTTAAACAAGAACATCATCAATTCAAAGCTATGGTATTTTATGACGATTAAGAAAACGTTTTCTTCACAAACCACGTATGAGGACAAATGAAGGAAAACGGACGATTTCTTTTCAGGCAACAGATCTTTGGAAAAAACTTCCAAGCCATTTCAAAGAACTTAGCGTATTTGCTTTTTCAAAACCAATTAAACATTACTATTTTTGTTATCATTTTTTGTCTCCCTTAGACTAAACTGTAAATTGTAAATTCTTCCTTCATCTCTCCTGTCCTTCAATTAGACAAAACTAAGCTGGAGGTTAACTCGAAAACCTAACGGTTAATTTAGCCTCCAGTCTCGTTAAAACAAGATTACAATCGTCACCTTATCTGCAACATGTTACATATAATAAAGATACCACAAATGTTTAATAATTATTCATATTTGTATTCGTATCTTGTGCTAAAGATCATGATGTGTTTGATTCGCTGCCACTACAACTATACTTTACTCTGCGAATAGGAAGCTTAACACGACGTTCATTGATTTAAGAGTTTTCCGTTAATATGAAACCGCACTCTGTGCGAGTGCTTTCTTTACGAACGTTTTCACTCACGAGGGCAACAGCCAGGTAAGTTTATAGGGCCAAAGGAGAATGCTTACTTACGAAATGAGGTCAGCTCAACCGGGATTGGGTTGGGACGCGAACATGGCCGCCGCTTCGTTGTCTTGAGACACCGATGCGGCTGTCGTGACGTCATGTGAAAACAGGCTATAGTTGTTCTGGACTATTTATACTATCATTCAAAATGTCAAAAGCAGCCTGTTCGTCTCCCAAGAAAATAACCCGGAAATAAAATTTTCTCTCACGGTCAAAAATTTATAGAGTTTGCTTTTGCGTCTATCCTAATCTGTTTTGAAATATTTATTTGTAGAGATATTCGTCGTCCTATATTATGAGTCGGACAAGTACGTTATATTTTTAATTGAGGTGTTAGTGCGGCTTTGAGCTCTTGGGGCAAACATATGTTAAAATATAATTTAATAAAAAAAACATGCACTAACAACAACAGAGGCATGCAAAAACAAAATAAAATTACTTATGAATAACGCTGAATTCGAAATTATTAACTAGAAGCGCGCAAAGCGATGTGCAGCGTTTCTATTATTTTCTTAGTTCTGTCAAATTACCTTTCCCTACATCGGGTCCAACAACAACGAAAAATAATCATATTTGAATCAACTCACGTCTGAAACGGATCCTCCTCGCTTTACCATAACGGCCTTTCCTGAATATTCGCACACGACGTCTGCCAACAAGCTTCACTCTAACTCGTCTACGTCGGACGCGTATGCTGCAACGAACCCGGCGCCTGACGCGCATCCATCGCTTCTTTCGCCTTAGGTACCATACCTTTCTGCGCCGTCTGATTCGTATTCTTTTTCCTCCCACTTTGCAAATCAATCTGACACGTTTTACTTTCCTCCACTTTCGTCTTCTTTTCAGATACCACTTTCGACCGAATCTTCGAAGTCCGCACCATTTTCTTCTGATACGGACTCGCCATCGCCTCCCAAAGCGTTTTATTTTCCTGTATTTTCGCCTGATTAAAATCCTTAACCTTCGCCTGAACCTACGGATAGGTTTCCTCTTTAGGCCGAAGAAGTATTTCCTTCTTATTTTTACAAGGCGTCGTCTACCACGGTATCGGATATATCTCCTACCTGGATTAACCAAGAAAGCACTTTTTAATAACAATCATTCAAAATATTTAAATAGGAAAACAGCGACAATAAGAAGGTAGCAGCATTCGCTGGATATGTTGTCTTATTTCAGTAAGTGAAAGGTAAGTTTCTAAATAAACAGATGTGCTGTGTCATCAGGCAGGTAAAATGCTGAATTAACAAAGCCTAAGTCAAATTCAACGGCAATCGGAATCTGATCACGAGGTCTTGTGTTTAAGGAAATTCAAAGAAAATATTATTTCAATTAACTTAAATCCAAATGAGGATAGGACAACTGTTGGTAAGAGAACATTTACAGTACAGTAAAATCCCGTGTGTGAGAACCTGCATGCTTTGAAGTCTGGCGAAATATAGGTTCTTGTATTTTGCGGTAGTTATTGGAAATTTAGGATAAGTAGTTCTTAATTAGGTTCTTAATTAATTTATATGAAGGAGATATAGTTACGCATTGATTACCAGAATAATGCTATACATGAACAATTACTCGATTCTGATTGGCTGAAAGCAGTGCAGTTCAAGTGTAACACCAGTGCAAAAAGTGTAACACTAGTGCAAAGCGTGTACCACCAGTGCAAATTACACATCGTAATTCTGGATTATGATTGCCTGGAATACAATAGGAAATTTTCTAAGCCAATGATATCACGTAAAATGATGACGAGAATTTTGCGCGGAAACTTTGAGTTTGAGTTGAGTTTTTCAAAAAGCTGAAATTGCACTCGCCGAAGCGGATCGCGCAATTTCAGCTTTTTGAAAAATTCACTCGTGCAAATTAATTCTAAATTGAATTCGAAACCGTATGATTACCTATACAAATACATTAACTTGGGTTTGGTCCTTGAATATACAGTATTTATTCGTAACTGTATCATGGTTCCTCCGTGGCTTAAAATGTTCATGATAATTTATTTGTAACCCACATTCAAGAACCTGCTTGATCTTGCTTGGCTAAACAGGTTCTTATATTTTTTGCGTATTAAAATGGCAAATTTCTGCCAGCAGGTTCTTAAACCGCTAGATTCTTACACGCGGGTTTTTACAACTTTCATCGATTGTAATTGTTGTTTGTGTTAAGGACATGGTCTACTTACGTTTTCCTCGTCTGCCACGCCTTCGACCTGAGATCAAATAAAGACAAGATTGTATAAGTCGAAAAACAAAATACTCAAACGAAACAAGATGTCCTTAGGAAACGAAGAAACCAAAAGAAAAAAAAAACACGAGTATTTCCTGTCATTTTAACGCCATTTATCCCATCAATTGGGCAAATTAGACAATCCTGACGACCCTTTCATTTGCTCGACTTTAATTCGGTGGCCCACAGATGCTGGGTGACGAGTTTCTGTAGGAAACTACGAGCTCCAGTCAAGTAAAAAAGACCATATTCGTATTCTCGGTATTGGACTGGAACTAGCTTGCAATTGAGGCTCATGCGGGGGAATATCATTAAAACGAGGTTGATGTCATTTTGCATTTGAAAAGACTGCCCGCATTAGCCTCAGTTGCAAGCTAGTTCCAGTCCAATACCGAGAATACGAATATGGTCTATTGTCTGACACCGGCAAGGACGCAAATCATTGTGTACTTACGCCATCTTCGTCTTCGTCTTCTCCTTCGTCTCCTTCTTCGTCGTCTTCGTCGTCGACGCCGCCTTCGGCGTCTTCTTCTTCGCCTTCGACCTACAAAACATTAACGTAAATGAGGTTAAAGTTGTGAGTATGGAGCCCTACAAGGTTCGGTGAGTTAAGGTGTGACAGAAAGGTCATATCTTTTATATATCACAATTAGATGCGTACGAAAAACACGGAAAAACAGCCAAAAATAAGACTTCAGGGTTGTCATAATGTACAGCGGAAATATGAAGTTAATAAATCGAAAAATAAGCTGGTAATGCTATTTTGTAATGATGACTTCGCAATGACCGACAACTGACAACTCACTGACAACTCGTGAAAAATCAGTTAGTGAAAATGACGAGCAAGCTACAAAAGGGATATGTTATATTCAATCTTTACTGAGACATCTCAAATCATGACCGTGCTACTAACTTCTTTACTACAGATTACAATTCCGCTCTCTGCGAAATCGGTTATTGTCTCCTCACCTCGCAGGCGACGTTTTCTTCCATATCGCACACGCTTACTTCTCAGCCATTTTTGTCGGAATCTAATCCGGTACCGTCTTCCATTTCTCTTTACTAAAAGTTTGCGTCCTCCATAACGCATGAAATAGACACGTCGACGTCTGACAGGGATCAATCTTTTACGGAACCGCAAATATATCCTCTTACCGCGGCGTATCACGCTTGTCCATTTTCGGCGGAATCGTACCTGGTACTTGGAAGTTCTTGTGAAGACAGGCCACCTTCGGCCGCGATAGATAACGCGGAACTTCCAGCCGTATCGTCTAATGCGAAGCCATGACCGACCGTATTTCAAGTACAAAATGCCACGCCTTCGTTTTAATGGTCTCCATCCTCTGTTAAAGTACACTCGAGATCGTCCCCCACGTCTTCGGACACGGTAGCGACGTCTTCCGTATTTCACAGTCCATTGTCTTCTCCATGCTCTCACGCGTCGGAGTTTACCGCGGAACCGGATTCTACGAACACGCCATCCTAGGAAGTGACGACAGCAATTTTGAACTGATGGGATTAGAGTTTTCCGAACGAGCAAGTGTTACTGTCCAGCTTAGAGAATAAAATAAAACTTAGGTATTGCCGTTTCCCATAACTACAAGGAACCTAGTTTGGCAAAAAGTACTTTAATTGCGTACACGGTCGCAAAATCTGAGGAAAAAACTAAACGAACTGAGTCGTGAGAATAGATGATCATTAGTTCACCAGCTGCTTCGTACCCAGGCATTCCTCATAAGGGAAAACTGCAAAATACATGACTAAAAGAAGACGAGAAGGTTCGAGTTAGAGTCCTAAGTATTAACCGCTCCATGTGACTATCTAGAATACATGGTATGCATACTTTTTCGGTATCGTCTTCTTCGACGCCTTCTCCGTCTACGCCTTATTCGACGGCGTCTGCGTCGCCGTCTTCGTCTCCTGCTTTTTGTTATTCTCCTTCCTATAACCAAAAAGCTGTCAATAAATGCGGAAAATTCCAAACACAGTTACTTTACCCCTTCTTAATCGGTACATATGTCTCCAAGGAAGCTGACATATCCCAGCTTTCATCTCTCCCTCTCTCTTGTTCTAAGAATGTCAACAACCCGTCAGGTTCCGCGAGATGAGTTTCTTACAAGATAACCTTCTAACTCCATAGTGGAAACCTTCGTTAGATTATTCTTATTTCTCTCCCTCTCTCTAGTTCTAAGAAGATCAACACCCTGTCAGGTTCCGCGAGATGAGGTTCTTGCAAGATAACCTACTAACTCCATAGTACAAACCCACGTTAGATTACTCTTATTTCTCTTCGTTTATCTTGTTCTAAGAAGACCGACACTCCGTCAGGTTCCGCGAGATGAGGTTCTTACAACATAACCTACTAACTCCATAGTACAAATCTACGTTAGATTACTCTTATTTCTCTTCGTTTATCTTGTTCTAAGAAGACCAACACTCCGTCACAAGATAACCTTCTAACTCCATAGTGGAAACCTTCGTTAGATTATTCTTATTTCTCTCCCTCTCTCTTGTTCTAAGAAGATCAACACCCTGTCAGGTTCCGCGAGATGAGGTTCTTGCAAGATAACCTACTAACTCCATAGTACAAACCCACGTTAGATTACTCTTATTTCTCTTCGTTTATCTTGTTCTAAGAAGACCGACACTCCGTCAGGTTCCGCGAGATGAGGTTCTTACAACATAACCTACTAACTCCATAGTACAAATCTACGTTCGATTACTCTTATTTTTCTCCCTCTCTCTTGTTCTAAAAAGATCAACACCCTGTCAGGTTCCGCGAGACGAGGTTCTTACAAGGTAGTTAACCTAATAACTCCATAGTACAAACCTACGTAAGATTACGCGTATTTCAAAGGATATAAGTTCTACTTACCTCGACGCCTTCTATAACGTCGACGTCGCCTTCTTAGTCGAACTACGAAAAAAACAACAATACCTCAGGACTTTACAAGCTAGCAAATACAAATACTTACGAAGGAAGGAGGTGGGTGAAAAGGCCGGACGCGTAGCGCAGTATCGAAGACACTGATTACTCTCAAATAAGAGGTTATAAAATTGTTACTGCGTTTCGAATTTCTAACAAGCAACGACGAAATACTACTGCCCCAAGGTCTTCCAGCATTGTCTCGAACCCATTTAGTTTGCTATAGGCCAGTCTTTCTCGACAGAGCTGTGATCTCATAGCTATTTTAGGAAACATTGTTGTTCAGCGATCTCTCACGATTAAACAGTAGGCGAAAAAAAGGGAATTTAGGTGTACTGATGCAAGCTTTTCGCATAATTCTAACCTTGAGAAAATAATACTGGAACAATTGAGCAGTTTTGGTCTGGGCAAGGAGCTATGTAATTTCTGTAACGGCTTAATTTGCGCAGACAACCAACGGACAAAGAAATTTAATCACTTTATATTTAGAGAGGATATAACAAATGTCCATTTTAACACAGAAACTAGCCATCCTTACTAAAAACGGAAAGCAAAAATTGAAGCATACAATGATGCTATAGCAGCCTATAAGAGCCTCAGCCTAAAGAAAAAATACTTCAATTATTTAAAAAAAGAGCGAAACTTTGAGGATTAATCAATCATTTTAAAAAAGAGCGGAACTTTGAGGATCAATCGTACCTTTGATCGGTCTGGAGATTGGTCTCCATCTTCTTCCGTACCTCAGTCTCCATTTTCCCCTCCTTCTCTTTAACCAGCGTCGCTTTCCTTTGTAGCGGACATAACGCCGGATCCTGCATCCCAATGGCCTCCATTTCCTCCTGACGAACACCCGCCATTTCCCACGACGACGCACGATTCTTACACGGCGACGATTGAACACAACCTTCAGTGTAAACCGTGGAATGGTAATAAACCGTCTTGATATACGGACTTTCCAGTAACGGCCGATTCTACGTATCGGACGCCAAGCACCTCCGTAGAAGATGTATCGTCGTCTTCTTCTGAATTTTATTCTGACCCATCTGCGTCTGAAGTACAGAAGTAATCTTCGCCGCAGCTTGGGTATTCTGTACGAACGCTTTCCTATTTTAAACGACCATCTGCGAAGACGTCTTAACCGAAGTTTACGTCTTCTGAAGTAAACGAGCCGGCGTCGTCGACCTGCCGCAAAAGAGATCAATGCTATTCTTAAAAACAGACCGCAAGATAGAATTGAAGGGGCTTCAGGTTTCACTGATCGGTTGTATTCAATGAATGGATACTCTACCTAACAGTTCTTTTAGCCTGTAGGCTCCGACTTTGTTGATAATAATTACTTTCTATCTATCGTATTAATCAACTTCTTATGTAATTACTATCTTCCATGCAAATATTTTTCTTCCTAGCCAATAAAGATTATTGTGATTGTGATTGTTATTCATACATTGTCCCAGCGTTAGACTGAAAACGTTTCAGGCAAGAACAGCTCAACACACATTACACTGGCCCTTCCCTAGTGAGGTCTTTTCGCATATGTTCTCGTCTCCCTCATCACAACAGCGAATATTCACTGGGACACAAAATGCAAAAACTAAGCTTTGCAAACAACAGAGCCGGAGATTATTATGGGACTGGGCATAACACCTTTTTCCAAGTCAAACGTTTTTTAAGTGCTCACAGATAAATACTTACGCCGTGGGAACTTTCTTCTTCTTCTCCTTCCTTTTCGTCGGTAACGACCTGAAACAATAACGAAAAAAAATATCAACGGCATATCAGGCGAGTTTAGTCGAGCCATGCTTCGTATTTTCGCGAGACGTGGTCGAGCCAAACTATCCGTGGATAGACCAAACGGGCCTGATATGTGAAGCGTACCGAAAAAGGTACGATTAGTTGTTTACCGAACCCAAATTCCGCCAAGTGACCATGATATCGTGGCCTATGAGGTCAGTGTATTGATATCGCAGGATGTCAGGATAGTAGACACGGCTTCTGATTGGCTGTTTCCGGAATTGGGTATGGTTAAAACAAATATCTCAGCAAGAAAAACGGCAAGCAGATCACCGCTCTCTTTGGTTTCTACAAGTCAAAAGGTAAACGCGATATGCTATAAAGTTCTCTTAATATAATAAAGAGCTTATCATTATATTTTCAAGATACTTACGAAGTTTGATTTTCCTCCATCTATTTCCTAAACGAGCTTTCCATTTCCCACGTCTTCTCTTCAGCCAAACTCTCTTCCTTTTGTAAGTTACAAAACGTCGTATGCCACACATCATAGGCCTCCATCTTTTCTTAGTGAACAAACGCCATCTTCTGCGGACTCGCTTGATTTTCTTATAACGGCGACCGATACGAATCCTGAGCCTTAAGCGTCCAAGGCGTCTCCAACGCTTCCCGTATCGGTATCTCCAAGAACGTCCTCGACGTCTTAAACGACACCAACGTCTTCTTACACGGAGCTTCCACGTTTTACGTTTTCTTTTCACCCTTACATACTTCCTCTTGAAGCGTGCATATAAACGCCTTCTCATTCGGCGAATCCTGAAGACTTTTCCTTTGACTGTGGTCGTCCATATTCGGTATCTTCTGACGCGCCTTCTACGTCCACCGAGTTTGACGTATCGGCGCCGTCGACCTGCAGTGAGATTTTTTCAGAAAAAGAAAAGGTTTATAATCAAGAGGCCCGCCTTAAAATATACTGACGAAAGGAATTTGTTTCAGGAATGTAAATAATAATACCGTTCGTTCTGTAACCGTGCAAAGGGATCTATACGCCAAAAAGTACACAAATCTGGCTAAGAAACCTTCACTCAAAACTATTAAAAGAATAGTTTTAAACTGTGCGTTCCGCAATTTTAGGTAATTTTTCGGGTCAAATGCTCTATTTTTTCAAACGACATCTTCGACGACATCTGGCGTTTTTATGCCTTTCGGTTCGAGTCTACTTGAACTGGGTCATCCCGAAGAAAGCTAACCAATCAACATGTATACTGAGAACAGTGGACGGGTAGCTTTTTTTCGTGAAGGCAAATAACGGTCTCTTTGACTTGAAAACATAAAGTACTATTGATTCCTACTTTTGTGTGATATACACTCTACAGATTCAGTCCTAGACGGCGACCTCTCGTAATTATTAATTTCACTCGAGAAATTTAGCTTGAAAACTCGTTTTGCGACAACTAAACCGAAACATTTCAAAATAGAAAAACCGTAGCCACGACAAAACATATTAAAAAGTTATAAAAACGTTCACTGGCTCTATAAAGTTAAGACTTCCGAACTTTCGGTCGTCAGACTGCAGCCTGCCCTTCGATGGAAAAAAATAGAAAAAGTAACAACTACCAACATGTTCAGAAATATGTCGGACCATAAAAGGTGGTTAACAAAAATGTTAAACCAAACTTGTAATTCCCTCACCTCTACCAAGTGGGATGCGAGCTGATGCGTAACTTGGACCTCGTCTCTGTGGGCGACTCATGTATCTGATCCAATATGGTCTTCTACGACCAACATACCCGATCGCGGCAAGACTGCTTCTGAAGCTCAGTCTTATTCTTCGTGGATCGATGTGCAGCCTTTTGAGCACATATTTGTAGTATCTACCAAACCGATACGCCTCGTCTTGGATTGCAAGTACAACAATACACCTACAATTGCCAGAAAATGTTAGCATAAAGAAAAATGAAACTGAGACTATTGCATTACATCAAATGAGGTCGGATTTTCATAAATTGTATCGGATAAGGGTGATATTCTAGCTAGTTGTAGCTGTGTCTACAACAGGAACTTGAAACACTTAACAATCCCATGATGACGTATTTCCTAAGATTTTGTACAAACAAAAACAACAGCACAATTTATTTACCCCATTAGTAAGTAGTTTATAAATACAATTATTTCAACTGGTTTTTTGAAAAATTAAAAGATTATCAGCTCCCTGAGTAGAAATTGAACGTGTAATCTGTGATGAAATGGGGCTACGAGAAGACGTGAAGGCTGCCATGCGGTACTGAAACCGCGAAGGAAAGCTTGGTGGAAATCCTGAAAATCCAGCTTGCTGAAAACCAGGATTGAATTTCATTGCCTTATGAATTTAGCCTTGATGTTGGATGTGATGAATAAGAACCAGTGGTGCTCGTTGGCGTTGGACGTCTTGGCCTGCAAGCGGTTGATTTGAGGCTTCATTTGCACTGGTTTGGTTGGAGGCGTCGTTTGGAGTGTTTTCGTTTTGCACTTCTTATATCCACTGATAATGTGAGGCAGCTCTTTCCTTTGATTATCGTCTATTTCATCGTAGTCGTCTAACGAAGATTCGTGCATGGACTGTTATTTCACAGATGACATTGTGCGGTTGACCAGAATTCTCCACTTGTGACACCAATGTTTTCCTCATGCTGTGGTTCGAGAACTTCTTATTTGTCTTGAGACAGGAGGCCATAGATTTCGTGGTATTGCTGATGGTGTTTTGTCCCATGCGAACTTTGGTGTATTAGACATCTGTTGACTGAGGACGATTTATGACGCTCAGATAGAGAGGCCCTGTGTCCTTCATTCCCTGGGATCGCTTGCACAATCAAAGCTTGAAGAGCCACACTGGATCGGTTTTTCCGCCGTCGGTGGTATACATAACTTGTGGCGTAGTTCTTCGCCTGATAGACAGATCGCCGCTTCTTGTTTTGGTTGGACCTTCGCGGAACTCTACGACTTCAGTGCAATCTTCTTGTTGTCCTATCACAAGGTCCTCCACGTACACGTCGTGGTGTTCCTGGCTACCTCTAAGCCAAGTTGTTCAGTCAAGTTTTTAAAGTTCACATTGGTCAGTACCCTTCCATTGAAATACCCTAGCTGACCTTTCTCCGACAGAGCCGATTCCTCTTCTGGTGTTAATGGCTGTGCATAGTTTGGTCCCTTACCCTTTCCTCGCTGGCGCAGAGAAAGTCCCTTCGCATTGAGGATTTCTTGTGAGTTATGGACCCCTCTCGATCGCACGATACTCACTGGATAGCTTTGGTCCTTTAGCTGACGTTCAATTGTTCTTTGCATGATTTTCTGCGATTGAGGCTCGTAATCATGTCCGTCCCTTTCTTCTACTTCGGCGTAGAACTTTGCCAGGACCGTGTTTCTTCAAAATCTATACCGAAAGTTGGAAACGACTACCGGAAAAGTTGATTTTCAACCTGGAGGGGCTGGTCATCATCATTTAGAAACCGTAAGTAATTAAATTTATCCATTTTTCAAACTTAGCAAAGTCTTGGCCACAAAAGTTGCGAAATTTGCCCAATAATGGCTTTTTTGTCTTTCATTTTCCTACAATGTGATTGGTTAGTTTTAAAAAGCCTTAAAATCTGATTGGTTGTTTTGTTTTAGCGTTCCACTCTCAATGGCCAGAAACAAGATGCGATTTAGAGTACAAAATAGCGCGATTCGGGAATAAATCGCCCTGCTGAGAACGAATCAAATTTCAAGGATAACCAGTGATTTTAAAATGGATATAATAAAAGATGTAATCAAACTGGGACTGTGAAAATAAATTTTATCATCAGAAATCAACAGCTAAAAGTGGTGAAAACAAACTTACCCTCGTCTGATGCGGTAAATAAATCTCTTGAACCTCTTTGCCTGATAACGGCTGCCATGTGTGTCAAAAGACCTCCTTTGTACAACACGCCCTATTGCGGTAAAAACATCAGCAATAAGATTTAAAGAAAAACACGACAGGACAGTCTATATCATCATTGATATAATCTAGACCATTGATAATTAGCTTGCGAATTCAAGAGGCTAGAATCGAAAACCACAGCATAAGGGTGACACCACACATCTAAGTACAAAGATACAAATAGTTTTTGAGGTCATGCTACTCTTGGTACATTGAGGGCTCACCAGTGCTGCGGTCGATAACACAAACGTCAAAACCACGCTTGGGCAGAGAATCTCTTTCGAAGCGTACCAAAAAGGTAGGAATAGCTTTATTAACTATAAGTCCTTACCCGTCCGGCGGTTGATAACGATAGAATTAAAACCACGCCTACGCAGAGAATAATCTCTTCTGAAGCGTACTAGAAACGTAGGAATAGCTTTAACAACTATAAGTCCTTACCTGTCCTGCGCTTGATAACGATAACGTTAAAACCACGCCTGTGTAGAGAATAATCTCTTCCGTTGACTCTGATGTAGGCCCGCGAGCGTCCATACAAAGTACGTCCGCGCTTCTTATCAACAAAACCTTGACTTTCCACTCTCACTCTTACATATCCTGTACATAATAACAAAAAGAAGCACGTTTATGCGGAAGTCGAAACTCGAAGATATTCTGATCTCTCAACTTTCCAAATGTATTTTAAGAGAAACTTGGTATAAAGAGGAAACTTACTTAAATATGACAGTGGCTTCCCTCGAAATATCTGATTACTAACTTATTCCCGACAGCCGAGTATTTGGTGAAAAAAAATGTTGTAAAAAAATGTTAGCAATTTTAACAGTCTTAGACGGCGACTTATCATAATTATAAATGTCACTCTGTCACTTTTTTCATTTTTATCCATCGAAGGCTGTAGTCTGACAGCCGAAAGCTCGAAAGTTTTAACTTTATTTAGCCAATGAATTTTAATGTAAACCGAAACCGTTGAAAAGAGTACAAAATTTAGGATCGAAACTAACCAATCAACAAATGGCAAAGTTTCCTGAGAGGTCTGCGAAAGTACACGCTTTCGTGTTTTTTTTTTTCTTTCTTTTGTTCTGTTATAGAGCGATTGTTTTTATTCTTTAATGCTACAGCGATCTTTAAAGAAAGATCGCTATCCTTGTACTCAAGTAACGTTCTGATTGGTTTTCTCTTTACCAAGCGGCCCGTTTGAGTAGTTGCACTGCAATACCCGATGCTAAGCTGCCTATAGACAGGGTCAAAATGATATTGTTTTGATTTGAAGTTTTGAAGAAGAGCATAACGTCTGCGCAGTTTCGCGGTCATCATAGGTAGCAAAACCAATAGAAACAATTCTTTTTTTTTTATGCTATTGAATGTCATTATTTGAATTTTTCAAAACAATGCGTCCATGTTTAAATAACTATCGTTCCTCTACACTTGAGAATTAATTTTTTGCTATGGGGATATTGGAAAAATGTAATTGACACCATTTTCCAATCAGTGTCTCTGATTACACTTACAGTACTAAATAGGACGATTTGTAATACTGAAAGATTCCATATTTAGGGAAACATCTTTATCGTTGTTTTGCTTTATGAGTATCTTACCCACTCAAAGTAGGAGTTTTAGAAATCAGTTTGTGCCTCATGAAAACTCTACTTTTTGCTTACGAAATCATAAGTTCCAATCGTTCAAAGCTCTTATTCGCCTTACTAATCGCGATACATATCTTTTAATGTCAGTTGTAAGAATTTGTTCTAACATGGAGACAATATCTCGTTATTCCTGTCATCAATCGGCATAACATTTACTGATATTGCAAGGAGAATATGGATGTTTCTCATTCAAGATATTTGGAGGTGTTTGGGGATCATGGTCGTAAGTACATACCTCTTCGCCGTCGCATTCCCCATCGCCTTCGACGTCTTCCTCGCCAGCGTCGTCTTCCACCTCTTCTACGTCGTCGTCGTCGTCGTCGTCTTCGTCGTCTTCTTCTGCGTCGTCGTCTCCTTGCTCGTCTTCTTCTCCTTCTTCGTATTCGTCTTCGACGCCTTCTCGCTGCAAAATAAATGCCCAGGTCTGTTACGACCTTTTTAGAAGTCGTAACAGCGATTATGCTCACAACTTTCAGGGTAAATGAAATCATATTAAACCTGAGAATTGGAACTAAGTTAGAATTGTCCCACACTCAACTGGCTGAGGGATCTACATTGTAGCTCAACGCACTAGTCGAAGAAAAAGTATGAATCCGGCATCATGAGCGCGAAAACGCATCCAAGCAAAATCACACTTTAATTTGGTTTCACTGGATCCTAACTGATTTGAAGACAATTATTTGGTAATTGATTGGCTTAGGGGACAGTGTCTCTTCCTAATTTCCATATTATTGCCAATCACCACAACATATACAAATAAATCGGATATAAAGATTCTGCCAAGCCAATGAAAATTGCCATTCTGTTGAAATTTCACATTTTTCAATTTATTATTAGGAATATTAAATGTAGAAATGACAGAAAATTGTAGAAAACTCGGCAATAAAATCCGAGTTCCATCCAGATGGGATTCGAACCCACGACCCTCCGTGATCTAGCCGGACGCTCTAACCACTGAGCTACTGGAGACTCTATGGTGAGCAAGGGTGAAATGTGGGTCTTTGACTGGAACCGCATCGCGCAGTCACACAGCCAAAGAATGACAGGTATTTACCAAGGGTCTTTTTTTTCTTTTTAGTTGATATTTTTTTGCCTTCATTATTCTTTCATTTCGAAGATAATGAAGTAACTTTATAGCAAGCTGCCAGCCAAACTTATTAAATTACGATTTCTGTAAGCCTGTTTCACGGATATTTTTAGACGATTGTAAGGCTACGCAAACGCTAAACCATACAAACAGAGGACGGTTGCTTTTGGAACTCAACCAACTCAGCCCTTCAAGTGATGTTATTTTAACTGTTCACTTACACATTCGACGCGGTCTTCTCGTTTTTATTTTCCTTCTGCGAGTCCAGTGGCCATGGTATCTTACCCGGACCGTCCTTCGCCTTCTCCTTACTCGCAGGAAACGACCGTGATATCTTATGCGATATTTTCGGCGACGAATAACCGGCTTCCACTTGCGCCCTAGCATCATGTACAGCCGTCTCTTCATCATCATCATACGCGCCCAGACTCGTCTGAACTTAATCATCAACAGGTTCGCCTTGACTCGCAGACGTTGCAACCGTCGTCGATATTTTAAATACCAGCGACCTCTACGCTTCACAATAGGTTTCCATTTGCTTCCAAACCGGATGAACCAACTTCCGCGTTGTTTTTTAGCTCGACGCCATCGTTTCATGTAGTATATTTTCACATGTCGCCCGTTTCTGTTTAGTTTGTATCTCTTTCTGTGAATCGTCAGGTACCATGTTCTCCCTCCTTTTCTCAAGCGTCGGTAACGTCCTTTGAAATAGACTCTTTTGCTAGCTGATTGAGTGAAAGACAAGTGATATCAAGTAAGACAACGATACTGCCGCTAGTACCGTCAGCTGCTAAATCCTCTACTGCTTTATCGCAATTTCGGAAATTAAATAATCAGTCTGACTTAGCAGGCTCCCAGTACAATTGCTGCAGTATTTTAGCAGCGTTAAGGGGCGTATGCACAAAATATCAACATAATATTTATTATACCTAGATAAATTAGACGTAGTAGATATCATTATAACATATTCTCACTTTTGATGTATTATTTTTAAGCCTTTTGTATTTTTTAAATTTGTTTGTGTTGACTAATTTTATCATGAGCGTTTGGCTCGAATGAATAGGCAACTACCCCGTGTCACGACTTTAAATAAATTATTACTATTACTACTGGGTGAGTCTATTAATTCCCATGTACATATCTTAGTCAAACATTGGCTAAACCTCGAATGCTCTTGTTACAAGAGTTTATATTATTTAGCATTAACTGCTCTGGAATCTTAAAATAATGGGTTGAGAAGATAAATCATTTTAATTGTGACAATTAACACAATTGCGTCAAAAAATAATTGGGCCATTAGTATTGTTTGAAAAAGCCTTTGCTTCACTTAATGATTGACTTTCGGTTTAAAGGTACTTTATCCTGCCCCTGTTCATAATGTATAGCTCACAATAAATACTATTGTTTGCTCTGTTTGCTGAGAAGGGCTTTGACAAGGAATCAACAAACTCTCTAATTCTTCGGGTTGACTTTAGCTATGTGGCTGGCCACATCGCCGCTTTAATAATCATTTCAATCCAGTGTCAATTATAAACGAATGAAGGAAGCCCTACTCAACAAAGTTGAGGGTAAAAATCCTCATCTCATAGACAAAGGTATATGTGGCTAGGATAAGGGTGGGGGGGGGGGNGGAAAACAAAGTAGGAGACGATCCCTCTATGCGGTCAAGTCCAAAACCACATGGCATGGATACACCGCCTAGAGGGTTCCCAGAATGTTCCAATATGTTGCAAACCCTATCCCCCACCCACCCCTAGCCAACATAGCTGGTTAAGTTTAAACATTAACAGAGGGCAGCATAATTTTCATTAATGTTCATTGTCTGGACAATAAATAATTTAACCAACACTCTAAATTCAAGTGATTGGTTCAGTTCTTCGTCATGGCAAAAGATCATCGGCTCCTCAAATATCATGAACTGGTTGTTTAAATTTGATAACAAAAGAAAATAAGGAAATTATCACCACAGGGAATTACAAAAACACTTACGTCTTCGTCGACGAAGTATTCTCCTTCGTCTTCTTCTTCGTCGCCTCACTCGACGAGCTGAAGAGGTTTATTTTTGACAAAAACATATATATGAGAAAGTGAAATATTAAAATGACGGGAGCAATGAATGCCAGGGTTTCCATCTCAGTAACATTGTCATTATGAGATATCAAGTAAATTAAAGAACTCATAATACCAAAACTAGACATTATTGAGTTTGCCGAAAAAATACAACAAAAAGCGACCCCCAGTATGAAAGCTTATAATTTTAAAAAAGGAAAACTTCTTTGAATAAACCTGTGGTTCTGTTTTAAAGAAAAATAAAAAGTATTGTTAGTCGACGTTTCGATGCATCAAACTCAACTCAACAACTTTGACTTCAGCATTAACGACCTCAATCTTGAGAATGATGCTTGATGCATCGAAACCTCGATTGTCATTGCTTTTAAACTTTCTTGTCAAATGCTTTAACAAGCAACTCATCATTCATTGTGTTTTTAGACATGGAAATGCGAGGACCCGCTCACAACCAGCACTACTCTTTTTCGGCTTTTAACGTTACGGCCGTATTTGGTTAGGTCAGGGTTTAAAATATTTCTTTTGAAATGAAGTATTTGTATCTGTTTTTGCATATAACCTTTTTACAAAACAGATGTTTCGGTTGCAAAACTATTGTTAGGCATACTAGTGTCTTGATGGTCCAGTTGGATACCTTCATCTTTTTCAAAAGAAGGGGGATAAACCTTCAATATATTAGAAAACGAACTCTTAAAGCAGAATACCTCTGTAAAAGCGAATGCTGTAATTGTTTTCAGTATTATTTCATGTCTAGCTAAACGCTGTCGCTTTCTCTTGAATTACGTGACATTTTTAGGCTTTTTTACAGTACGTAACATTTAAATAAAATACGTACGTCTCCGTCTTCGTCTTCTTCTACGTCGCCGTCGTCCTCTTCTTCTTAATCCGTACCTTCTTCCTCTTCTCCCCCTTCTTCCTCTTCTTCTTAATCCATACTTTCTTCCTCTTCTCCTTCTCCTTCTTCCTCTTCTTCTTAATCCATACCTTCTTCTTCTCCTTCTTCTCCTTCTTCGTCTTCGTCTTCGCCTTCTCACTCGCCGCCTCTTCCTTCTCGTTCTTCTCCTCCTTGCTGTGATAAAAATGACACCAAATTGACATTTCATAACATAAGCCGAGCAAATTTTTGGGAACTTACACCTGGTGAGAACACTGAGGATGCTGGCGGCAATTTATTTTTCAGACGGAATCTTTGTGTAACTTTCGTGATTTCACCAAAAAGAGATAAGGGAAATGTACTTTATGCTTTTTTTTTCAAACAACAAGTAAACGTAGAGGTAACAACAGGCCACTGGCAATCAAAAAAGCGAATTCACAGCTGTAAACCAGATCAGATTGTCCTTTTTTTAGGAAATGACGGCAAGGTTTTGTATGTTGACATCCTTTCAGAAAACACCCTATAAGAAAGCGAATGCTAAATCCTGTACTTCTATTAAACAATTAGATTATGAGCTCCAGATTTACGAGGGTGCAGACTATAGCACTATTCTGAAACTTTCATTACATCTTATATGTGGATATCAGTGTGATAAAGCCGTGACTTAAAAGTCAAATGAACCAAAATTTAGACATCTTATCTTCAGCCATTTTGTAGCGAAATGTTAAAAAAAAAAACATGTAAAAAGGAGCTTATGCGGAAATTTTTTCTTTCTGAAACGTGAAAAGGAGTAAAAAAGTTAAAAGTACGAAGACAGCGGATGGCTTCACGAAAACGTTTCCAAAATGACCGCGCACTTTAATGGAAGGAATGGAACTGAGACTCTGCTTTGTGACGTCACTGTTGTCTTGAACATTGCTGCGTTTCTGCGTCAGTGAGTCTTTCGTYGGGAAGGTTTTGGATCTAAATACAAGCCTTATTTTACTCTAGAAATGGCCGAGGCTTTCGCCCGCTTTCGGCAGGCATTATTCGCTTGTTTTTTGTTGCCGGCTTGCAACGTTTCATAGTGAAGTTAAAAATCGTCGGTACCGCGTCTTTCTTGACTACAAGTTGACGAAGCTTGAAAGAGGGTCCCAACAAACTCCTTACTACAAGATTTTGCTCAAAGCTGTCTTTGGTAAAGTGTTTTACACAAACGTGCGCATGTTTCGAGGGCACGAAGCATTCTCTTTTCATTTTGATAAGCGATTAATTATCTCTTAAGTTTTGGGTTCTGGGGGAACTTGAAAGTGTTAACTTTTGATTTTGAGTGGTTTTCCTCTGAAGTTCACTGTGAACTTTAAACCAAAATAGTTTCAAATTTCCCGCATTTCTTGAGCTCACCAATAGTGACGTCACAAGTTTTATTTCCAACAATTATCCGACGATTTTCCCGAGCACTCTACGATTATGAAGAATAAAAAACAATGATTTTAACATTCCAATATCTCCGCAATGCTTCGTCCAATTCGTTTGAAACTTCAGAATATGTTTATTTCATACTCAATGAACACATTGAACTCAAATGAAAAAAAAATGTCTAAATTTTGGTTCATTTGACCTTTAAAATGATACCTGTGAAGTGATATGATATCATTTCACTGCAGCGAAATGATATCATACCACTTCGCGGTTGAATTGTCCAATCAAATAGACTGTAATAAACTGGTTGGACCAATCAGGTAGCAAGTTATATTTGAGCTGGCGCCTGGCGCCTGGCGCCAAATTTGGCGGGAAGAATTTCTCTGCAGTTTTATCAACGAAATGGCCGCTTCAAGATTTGTGAACGTTTCCTGTGAAGATGTATCTCAGTTTCTCGAAGAGAACGAAAACAACACGGCAAGAAAAACCTCTCAAGATGTAGCGTTCTTCATGACCTTTTGACCGAATGAGAACGCAAATTTACAGGACCATTGTAAGAGAAAGATACGCTTCAGCTTCCCCTCTTTCTTGTATGTATTCACTGATATTAAAGGCAACTTTCTTGTACTTTAACTTGGTGGCTTGATATTTTTTAAGCATGTAATATGCTTACTCGCTCGAAGACTCGCTCGTTCGCGATATGGTATTACAAACTCGTGAACAAAAACGATACCAGGCTCTTAATATGTATTGTTACATGGCTTAAGTTTGTAACCGATATAACGCGCTCTCCGATTGGCTAGTTCTAGGGCATTATTCCCCCGTAATGCCCACGGGCCGATTACGGGCCTGCAAAACCAAAGCAAAACGCCATATAATAAACAACTTATTAACCTCGAACGTTTGGTATTTACGGGAAAATCTCAAACCTCGCCCTTGCCGTATTAATCTCGCTATTGCTCGGTCAATTCGGCAAGGTCTCGGTTTGAAATTTTGCTGTAAAGACCTCAATCTCGGATAATAAGGAGTTAAAAATCTATATTTATCTTACCTCTTTTGGGTCTACCGTATCGACCTCGATATCGCACTCTGAAACGTCTACCTTTCCTCTTTACCACCAATCGCTTACTGCGGTATCGGATGGTATACCGGGGACGTCGTTTCACGCGCAACCAGCGTCGTTTAAAGTAGATAGAGTATCTTCGTCTAATACACTTAAACGGTCGCCACTTCCCTCGGAAACGGATTCTGAAAGTGCGCGAAGTCCTAGGCAGGCGGATGTAACGTTTGTTTCTGCGTATCGTCCACTGCCGTCCGCGGCGATAGATACGTTGCCATGTTCCAATGTAGACATACCAGATGTTTCGGATACGTTTCAGGGGTCTAAATCTTCCACCATACTTGATCCTCATTCTTCTTCCACCTCGGCGGATTCTGTATCTTATTCCTTTCACTTTAATAACAAATCGACTCCTCCAACGTCTTAAAACACGTACGCGTCCCTTGAAACGGATTCCTCTTCGTCTCCAGCCTAACAAAAACAACCACGAGTAGATGAAATGATGATTGTGCAATGGCAAAACATTCGCGTTCCATATTCTTCAACGAGACCATATTATCATCGACATTACTTTCCAGATCTACACTGTCGCTTGTTGCTTCGTTTTTGTTTCATAATCTGAGAAAAACGACGGTGGGAATAAATTGTCGCATTATATTTCCACGATATAATGCCGGTCGAAACTTTTGTCAATTGGCTTCAAATGAATCTAATTTGAATGGAAAAAGTGATAACAGCCAATCTTGCACAAGCTTATAAGTTTAGGTGTTACTCACACGACTTTGCTCCATGTACAAAACATTTTTAAGGACAGAAGGGAACACGAAAACTCTTTGTGCTCCGTTAATTTAAGGGTCCCTTAACATTCGATTCCAAGAACACCTCTTTACTCCATGTATGATACAAGATCAAGCGGTTTCAAGACCTTTCCTAAAATCCTCATGCATCAATCACAAAAGCTCTATCTGCTCTCCACTTCACACACTGTTTGATTGACGGTTCTCAGTTTCAGACAGGAAGGGCCTCGCCCCTATGTTCATCATCATCATCATCATTAGTCCTTATTGCCCCCAGTGGGGCATGTTAGGTTGTATTTTGATGGAATGGAAAGAACAGTACTTTTCACACACGACCTCTTGTAAAGTTACCTCTTGTGCGCCTGGTTTTTCTCTTTCTTCTTCTTCGCCTTCGTCTTCTGCGTCGCCGTCTTCTACGTGTCCTTCTTCGCCTTCTTCGTCGATTGCGACGTCTTCGACGTCGTCGTCGTCTTCTTCGTCGCCTTCTCCTTTTCATACGCTTATACCAACGCGGTCTTCTTCGAGTGCCTAAAAGCACAAATCGTTTTAGGTAATCAAGTCCATACAACGAGAAGATGAATTACTCACTAACAGGCCAGATAAAAAACTTCTTTTTGTCGCGGTAAACGCATTAAGGCAAGTTGCCTTAATGTATTCCCTGTCCCTACTTTTCCTATGGCAATATATCTTTGTAATGAACGACACTGTATTTATACCTAATGGTATCTTTCTGGCACGCTTCGGTGGCATATTGGGCGAGTTTGGTCGAGCCATGACGAGATCACTCGAGCCTAATATGCCGCCGAAGCGAATCAATAAGGTACGATTAGGTATCTACCGTACCCATGATATCATGGCCATATCAGGTCAGTGACTTGATATCGCAGGTTATCAGGACAGTAGACACGGCTTCTGACTGGCTAACTGCAAATTTGGGTACGGTAAAAAACAAGATCAACCCTCCATCGTTGTTGTTTTCAACGGAAGACGAAAGTATCAGCTCTATGGAAACTGTTGGGCAGAGTCAGCGGACAAGTGAAACAGTTAGCTACTTATCAACTTGAAGTTAATTAAGGTCAATTAATCTCCGGTGAGAGTTTGTGAAACTGACGTCTTCTCCAGCCCTTTAGTTGATTTTATTCCTCTGTCCCACTAGCCTTTGGCTATAAACACTGACCAAGGGTAAATCAAACATTATTTTTTAGCTTATGGCATTATTTCCTAGTCAGGACGAGGAGGACGACTGAGCGAGTTCTTGGCTCTGACGCCCAAAACGTCAGCTCCGTAAACTCGCTATGGCGGCTAAATTTGAAAGCGGAAGCGTCACTGATTGTGTTTCACGATGCGCTTTACTCAAGCGGGCTTGTAGCACTTTCAGGGCAACCAAATGAGAGTTTGGAGGAGGACAAAATCATAGGACATATTACTTTCCAGCAAAGGGCTAGAACATTTTGTTAATGCGTGACTACATGTTTAAACTACCACTCACGTCTTCTACGCCTTCTTTTAACTCTCCTGACTCTCTTCCATCTCTTGTATACTCTGATCCGATATCCTCTTCCCCTTCTTCCTCTTCTCACGCGGTATTTTCGTCGACCCACTCTTATGTAGCGCCTTCTGCGCTTCGTGATTCGTCTCCATTTCCTTCCTATTCGCATGCGCCAACGCCTTCCACGACACCTCACAACTCGTGTGACGCCTTTGAAACGGAATCGGAGTCTCCACCTCAGTGGCACCCATCGTCTTCTCCAACGAATATAGCGCCGTCCGCGGCGACGTACAACTCGAACAGGTTTTCGTCCTATCTTTACATACCATTGTCTACGCCTTCGATAAATGGGTCTATATCGCTTGAACAGTTTGATCCTAAACCTGCGGCGTTTGAATCGGGGGATTGTTATTCGCTTTCTCTTGTATCGGATCGTATATCGTCGGCGAGATATTACACGACGGTAACGGCGGCGGAAGCGTAACTTAACAACTCGTTTTCCTGCAAAATATTTCAATAATATTTAACAATAACGCAAGCATTCAGTTTCCATACCAATTTATCTGCCAATTGGGTTAAGAAAAACTGGTGGTGGACAAGGGTGTCTTGCAATAGCTGGGTTACAGCTATATAGCGATGTCTCTTATCTAGTAGTGCGTTTACAACTCAACCTCATACAGGGAATTCTTAAATCCTTACGAGCTGTACGGTCTGAGTGTATTTTGACATAAGTTTGAAATAAAAATTCATCTTCTTCCTTTCACTAAACCATTTCATACTCACGTCTTCTTCGTTGCTTCCTTTTACGTCTTCTAATAATCCTTCTTCGTCGCCTTCGTCGCCTTCTCCTTCGTCGCCTCCTGCGTCTACGAAGTCGTCTCCTTCTTCTTCGCCGTCTACGGATCCTGGATCGCCGGCCACCTTGATAGACATATTGTAGTCTCAATTAAATGCCCCATAATTAATAAACTCTGGTCTGATCCAGAGACACGATCAGAGCCTGTTGATGCCATGACGTAAGTATCTAAGACTATTGCATATATTATCGTTACTCACGTTGTCTCATTTTCTATTTCGTGAGCTGTTAATAATTCTGGATATTTTGTCACCTGTTGAGCGCTGTCGCATAGGTATGTCCTCTGTTGACAACGTTAAAAGTAAAAATAAAGGTCTGCATACGAGCTAAGTGGCCCACCAGGCCGAAGCTGATCCCGGTTTCCGTAGCATGAAGCGACTAGGAGTATTTCTACTTACCCCTGGATGGGAGCTAGACCATTATAATAATTTACTTCAGAAATATAACCATGTTCACGACGAAAATAGGTATTTAACTCTTAGCTGACTCTACTCCGAGACTGAAATTAAGCAAAGATGAAGAATAATCACTGACATTTGCGTGAATACATCATAAGTATGGTAAAGAAGTTAGTTTGATAAACAGCACCTTTTTGCGAATTTCAGCTGCCCTCCCTTACGCTTCAAGACAATTTTTTTAGTTGTAATTGGCAAAATCCTCAAAAATGTTTCCAGTTTTCTCGTTACTTACGTCTTCGTCCCCGCCGTCTGCGCCTTCTTCGTCGGCTTTTTGCTCTTACTCTCTTCCATTTCTTTCCGACTCTGACTCTGTATACATTTCTTCGTTTCCAGATTGGGTATCTTCGACGTCCTTTTTTTACGAAAAGAACTTTACGTTTTACGATTCGTCTCCACCTACGGCCGTATCGCATGCTCCACTTTCTTCTTCGGCATCTCACAACGCGTCGGACACCCTTGAATCGAATCTTGAAGATCCACCTCAAATAGATCGTCTTTCTATTCCATATAATATAGCGCCTTCTACCTCGTCGCTTCACTCGTATTTTTCGGCGTCCGAAACGTATATACCAGTACCTACCGTAGCGCATTATTGGTCGAGGTCTTTTCAGAACTCTGATTGTGAGTCTGCCACGCCGGAAGCCGCGGATTTGATATTTTCGTCTTCGATAGCGTACTACCCAACGTCGACGAGTCTTTATACGTCGGTATTTACCTCCAAAACGTACTTTACGAACGCGTCTCGCTACCGAAAGAAACAACAGGACTATATTAACATGTGTTTCGATTCGTGATCTGAAATTTTACTGGACTTTAACGCCCCATCCGCACTACGCGGGAGGAATTTGAAAACGGAGCTTTATTTCTTTAGTTAGGCCTACCGTCCACACTAATCCGTCGCGAAAACGGAGCTTTTGAAAAACGCTCTTCAAACTTTTCGTTTTCGCGTGGACGGAAAACAGTTTGAAAACGGAGCTTTGCGAAAACGATGGCGTCACGAAACACAAATCCAAAATGAACGGTGATTGTTGCGCTTTTAAATATCTCCGGCGTAGTGTGGACGGAAAACTAATGATGCGTTTTCAGAGTGAAATCTCCGTTTTCAAATTCCTCCGGCGTATTGTGGACGGCGCTTAAGTGAGTGCGCATGAGCCAAACTTACTCCTGCTGATCTACGTCTTTCGCATTGTGTTTTTATATCTGTTTAACAACGTGAAAAATTCAATTTAATTAAGCTCTCCCAACCAGGATTATTGGTCGAAGTGTTAATAGTGCCCAATATGTTCAAGTCCAGACATATTTGTGTAGTCGCATGTCTCGTGAACCATAAAGAGAACATAGACAGTTATAGAATTAGGATCAAAATAAATTTCATAACTTCTACAATTCTAAAAGCCATGCCATTTCAACCGTACGTGAAGAAAGCATTCAGCTACATAGCACAATAATTTTATTTCGTATCTCGAAGTATTCTCATTTGAAAACCAAAGAATGTAACCTTTCGTCAAGTCGACAAAAAGCTAGTACTGTCTGTGATACAAATGTTTAAGTTATTTCATTTTCTTTAGAATTGTTCTAAACCTCAGCTGTTCCTTTCCCAAAGTATTATTTTAAAGAACGGGAATTTAGAATTCATTTCTCAGTAACGGGTTGACTTCCATCTGTGGAAGAGGGGTTCGCTATAGCTTCATAGCATTCGACACGATTACGCCCCCGCTTGTTTCAAAGTGGCCTGCTGATAGAACGATTTACGATGTGCATAAACGTGAACAACTTTCCTCTTCACGTCTGAGGAAAACAAAGTAGGAAACATGTAGCTCACTTAAAGGGTCAAAATAACTCAAAGCCCCTTTAAAAATGATTTATCACACGCGA